ACAATTATACTGTGAACTGAACCATGACATATTTTTATAAGAACATACATATATATACAACAAGTTCCAGAACATAAAACTCAATAACATATATATCTGCTTAAATAAGTAATCTAATAATTTTTACATTCCTGTCCAAAGCAAATGCCTCTTTGAGTAAACCTCTTCATATACTTTGTTTTGTCCCATGTTTGTTGTGTGTGAGTATGTATGTATGAGTGTGTGTGTGTTTGGGGGTGGTTGTATAGCTGATCTGGGCATAGCTCTAGTTCCTGATGGACAGTGGTCTGGTCAGCGCTCAGTGCATAAATACTGCACGCTACATTAGCTGCCAAAGCCGTTCCACATGTTGTTTGCTGAAGGCCTCCGCGGTGCTTAAAGGCGTCTGGCTGTTTTAGCTCCGATCATTCAGGACTTCAAACTGCAGGCTCCTCTGAATCAGCAGGGGGCTTCAGACCACAGCCGCCAATGTAACGGCAGGCTTTATTGTAAAATTCACCCATAACAAATTATTACAAGCAGCAAGAGTATTTGAATAGCTTACACAATCTGGCAGACTGATAATAATGTAAACAAAAATCTAATAATTTGGTATTTTTATATATGTAATCTTCAAATAAAATCTTGAGCAAATCCTTTAAAGGGGATGTGCAATGGGCAATAGTGCAAGACCAACGAACAGAAATGTTATAATTAAAGTCTTTTTCTACAACAAAAAAAGGACAATGACATGTATCTTACTAGGCAAAATTAAACATATTGTCAGATAAATAATAATGTATTGAAGAAAATCTACAGAAATACAAAATGATATTAGTGTCAATAATTGTGTAGGAGAATCTACAGTAAATATACATAATTGTATCTGTATTGATATAGTAATATTTCTGAATTGATCGTCCATGGCAAGGCAAGGCAAGTTCAGGATAAGATAATTTTCCCATCACTAAACTATACCCTAAAAGTAACTAACAAACATGGCTTGTGAATTTGCAGACAACAAGTGAAGCACAGACACATACGTAGCTGCTTTCGGAGATGTATGTAAAACAATATTTAGTGGCTTTTCTCTGCGGAGAGGCCCTGCAGGCTATTCTCTATCCCAAGGCCAGTCATCTGATCGTTCAGGTATGAGGCCAAAAGGGAGACAAGGACATGGAGGTCATGCGCCCCTGGGACCTCTGTTTTATGAGCTCAAGTCTTTACACAGCCGCGCTCTGCCTGACGGCCACATAAATGATGATGGAACAGCTATATTCAGGCTGGTTCATTTAAGCTAGCCCCATGCAGTATGCAGCAGTACAACAAGAATACTTTTCTTTTCATATGTACTCCTATCAACACTGTGGGGAAAAAGCGTACATTACAAAAAGGGAAAGAGTACATTTTTTTTTCAAGACCAGTTTTTGTTGCTCAAATTATTATGAAATTTGTATGATATTTTAATATAAGTTTACTAGTGTTGTGACAATACTAAAATTGCAATCACAATTTAGTATTTTTTTATGATACCATGTGTCATACTGGTTCTGATATGCTGTAGATCAAAATCATTCAAAAACATCATTTTGTACTGTTTCAGTGAAGTATTTAGTACTAGTTTTGGAATGAAACTAGAATTAGAAACTCATTTTCAATACTTTTGCCAACCCTAGTCTATACTCTCCCTCGTTACTGGCAAAACTTGGAATAATATTGTTCAGATATGTACTATAGTTTACTCAAAAATTCAAAAATATACTGTAGAAACATTTGAAATTTAGATTAAAATGCACGTGACATAACACATAACAATATATGATGAAGTTATTACAGGCAAAGTGAGATCAAGTCTTTATTTGTTTTAATATTGATGATTGGTTCACAGCTGTAAAAAATCCCAAATAAAATATATAATATAATATTTGAATGGTCTGTGAGCCATATTCATCAAAATTATAACAAACAAAAGCTTGGCATATGTCTCTTTGCATTGAATTTATTTATTAGTTTCACATTTTAGGTTGAATTACAGAAATATACATATATTTTTTAACAATATCCTATTTTTCCCAGTTTCTCCTGCAAGCCCTCTGGACAAAGATATTAATCCGAATCAACGTTTTGCATAAAGCTACACATAACCATTTATTCAGTTTTAAACATTTTCCTGAATGTTCTTTTAAACTGTTTTTTCCGCACTGAACACATTTGATTTGCTTCCAACATCTAAATTACACACACAAATGTACACATGTTCATTTTACATAAACTCTAATTCTAAGTTAACCAGTATTATAGCCCTACTCCAAAATCACTGTAATGTGTCTTGTGTGAGTATTTGTTTTGCCCTTAATGATAATCATAACTATCTGTTCGATCATTAACGCTTCCTGAATTGAACAATACCACTGGAAGCCATGACTTTCCCCATCGCTTGGAAACAAACCTTTGGAGATAAGTGGAAACACACATCCTCTGAGTGTGCGCCAATAACACGGTTTTCTCATCCCGCGCCCGCATCATCTGCTGTTTAGCTTAAGCCACACATTCCCATACAGGTGGTCCCACGGCAAAATGAGAGGCTAGTTTTACCCTCAACAATGCCAACTCTAATGACGATTTTGATTAGAGGCTGAGAACCACCTGTTTTGGCCCAGAGTTTGGATCCCATAAAGTCGCGTGTATGGTGCGCAGTGGGAGCGGGTGACACATGAACGCTGCAGTGTAATGTGTTGCCCAGATCTCCTTATTACTGCCTCAATCTTTTCTCTCTTGTGATGCCAAAAAGTCAAACGATAAGTCAAGTTGGCCCCCATCGAAGCCGGTCAATGAGGGCATGGCACCTGTTTTAAAACGAGGAGAGCCTTGACATTAAAGGTACCTTGGTTTTGGAGAAGGACGCTCAACCAGCTCCTGTAACCATGGTAACTCAGACAACTCAATAATTGTACATTTAGTATTTTGTGCTTTAAACATAACTTTGAACATAATTCAGTTTGTGCGTTAACACTGTTCAACAAATTAGTCTTTTTCACTATTGTTAGACTTTTTAACATGTTTTGTTTTGTTATGATATTGAGCATGTGTGTGTGTGTGTACATAGACTGTTTATACAGTACATCTATCCATCTAGCACAAATAAAATAAAATAATGTAATATAAATCTATCTCGTCCATGCTCTACACACATTGTAGTTCTATCCCTCATCCCTCAGGAACAGATTTTTCTGACAGAAAAGTGAATACGAGAGAACCACTCTAACACAATGAATAAGCTCTCTGCCCGAAGCATCAGATAATGACTCACAGGGCTCTTTTCAGCGGGTACGGTATGCATATGTTTTTTTTTATATATATAAGTTGAAGACAGATAATTTTGGTCTGATTTGCTCAAAACATTTTACTTTATACTACTTTACTTTACTTTATAGTATATTTCTGTTGGGTAAGTTTATGCTTTTACTGTAAAAGCCATCTCATAGCTTTACAAGTTTAAACACCTTTGGAAAATAACCCTTGATTCAAATATGCTTCAGTTCATATTCAGATTAATGATCAATGTTAGCCATCTGAGAATTGTAAATTTCTTGAATGGCAGAATTCCTCCTGACTAAGCATCCCAGCTGTTGCACCAAAGGCATTTTTGACTTCCCTCTTGCACAAATGTTTTCTGAAGCTGCTCCAAGTCTTGTTTGTGCCAGATCTCACAGTGTTGCTGAACTAGTGCAGGTGAATCGGGCCGGACTTGACAAAGTGCCAGGGACTAATGCCTTAAAAGTGTAACTTTACAACAACTTTTATCATGTCTGTTGTTCTCTGGCTTTGAACTCGGCCCCATCTTTAAATTACTCTGGACTCATGTTGTTTTATCACATGTGTCTGTTCTCCAACAACTTCTAAATATAGTGAGAATCCTGCCACAAAAAATGATGCTTATACTAATTACAACCTTCCCTCTGCTTTGGAGTCGCCTCAAGTCACAGCAGGTCTATGAGCTGAATCCATACTGTACAAATGCAAGCTGTGTTTCCACCCAGTAACTCTGTTAGATTATCCACAAAAAACATAAGTAAAACAACATATAGCGTTTATATTATAGCACTTGATTATTATTTACTTGATGTTCAAATGTATATATTTCTCCAAAATCACAACCACGTATTTTGCAATCTGCACACTTCTACTATTATGTATATTTGTATTTATTCTCCTTATAGTTTTGTTCATTTTTGCTAGCAAATTCAATTATACATGGAGTCTTGGTGACACCAGACACTGAGCCCCAGGCCAAATGCTCTCACTGGTGAGCTGGAAACTCACATGAATAATTAAATGTGAGGTCTCTGTGCTTTGAGTCTCATCACACACACATTCTGGTGCACTTCTGTGGAACATAAAGCAGCTAGGCTTGTGTCTGAACAAAGTCTTGGAGAACTTGGTTTATGGGACTAAACCAGCACAGACCATGATTCCACTCTTCCTCTTCACACTGGTGGCTGTTCCTCTCCAAGGTAAACTGTGATTGTTCTTTTGATGCTGTAACAATAGCTGCTAACGGGGAGCAGACAAGCTGAGACCAGCGCACTTCCTCCTGATCATTAACAGCTGTCATTATTTTGTCAAAACGCTGAGTGTAGCCAAAGACAGTCGTAAAATAGAGTTTGTAAAAACACCAGAGGCAAATAAAGAGTGTTCAGAATGATGAGTTGCTCATCTTCAGGAGCTGATTGCCAACTTTCTGGGAGGTCCACAAGTTACTATAGTTTATAACATATTATTATTAACTCACTATGACTTTTCAGGTTGCCTCTATGTTTACACAGATTTGAGACTACAGTTTACAGTGATGCATGTAAATAAAAAGATAATGCAACGTTTGAGTTCATTCAATCATGTGTTTGAATGCAATAAGGGTTAGGGTTGTGGACGGTGGACCACTCATCCGAAAAGTTAGTGTGAACAAATTTCAGTCATAAATGTATCTAGAACTTGATCTGTGTGCAGTTTCAGGCGTGCAGATGGTGACGCCGGAGCCAGAGGAGGTGGAGTATGTCCGCACTAACGTCACAGTGGCTGCAGGAGGATCTGTGACTCTGCTCTGTGGCTCTCCTCCTCCTCACATCTTTATCTGGGGTTTCACCAAACCAGGCTCCGACAACAACATAGCAGTGGCATACAACTATGGACACGGGTCCAAAGTGCAGTCCAACTCTGAGGATCTTGGACTGCTGAGTATCCCCGAAAACAGCTCCTGTCTGCGGATCGACGATGTGCAGAGCGAGGGCCAGGGCATGTTCACCTGTCAGGCCCTGTACGACGAGGAGGAGGGGGTCCGAGACACGTTCTACTTCACCAAGCTCATTGTTGTGGAGGACACCCCCTGATGCACCTACATAGTTTACACGTGTGGTTTAGCCTTACACTACATTGTATATGTTTGTGTAAGCAACAATTATTGTATTAACTTTTGTACAATACTAGATTCAAATCCAATTTACATTGTATATTGACAATGATTGACATTAAAAGTATCACATTAAGATGTCAAAATTGTTTCATGAACAAGAGATATAGTTTATAAATGTATTGTTTTTAGACAGGAATAAATGTAGAATGCACATTTTTGCCTGTATCTGTAGCTACTACACTGTGTTGTGGTCTTCATAATGTTTTGAGTCTTTATTGTATCTGTACATAGTTTATTTCTATGTCATTATCTTATAGAATTGATTTTTTATTTTCAAATTTGAGGAGTTACACCTTTAACTAAAATACATATGTAACCATTTCCGGTTACTTTCTTTTTATAGGGGAACAATGATGGCTCTGGGAGTTCTCCTAGTTTCAGATTTGTTCTAGCTCTAGTGTTAATGGAAATGTTTGCAAAGGTATTCTGCAACAAATGTAATCTATTAGTTACCATCCAACTATGGAAGGATTGTATTATTTTATTTTTAACTCGTCCATTAAAGGCTTGTATTTATTTAGAAATGACACCACACATGACCTCATCATCCCCCGGTGCACTTCCATTGGAGCCAATCCAAACATGCTCCACTGTGGTTTTGTGACATCTCCCAAATAGCAGAAAAGGCTCAGAGCTGAAGCAGGCCAGCTAACAACACACAGGCTGATTCATAAGGCCTCGCATCCTTATTGAGTTTGAACAGAGGAGGAAGAATGGTGGGAGGGGAGAGAGCCTGGCGTTAACAGGTCGGCCCTGCTGCAAGGGGGACAAATTCCTGGGAAGACAATGCCGTTTTTTGTCCCCAGTGGTGCTCCTTAATTAGGGGGTGTAGCCGAGTGGGCAAAGGGTCCTGGCCAACTGAAGGAGGGTGTGGAATGACAGGCGTGGGACAAGGAGGAGAGGCTCATTTGGAGACAACCCTGGCCTTATCTGGTCCTCATCAGGCGGGCGGCTTCTGTCAGCATACCCCTCTCAACCCCCTCACAACTCTTTCATTTCCACGTCCATTTCCTCCTCATTGTCTCCCATTTTTCTATCCAAACAGAGAAAGAAAATCATGATAGATGTGGGGAGTTTCAGCCTAAACGGTTTTCTCTTTTCTGCAGATAATGGTCTGTGTTATGTTTGCATAGTTAGTCCTGTGTTCATGTATCGACAAAGCACGTTTCATAAATCCAACGTTTATTAACACTCAATCTTCCACAGCGGTCACTTTGGCGTCCTTTAGACCATCACTTTTTCTGTTTCTATATAATTATTTTCCTGAAATTATCTTTAATTTCTTTAATTGTTTTATGTTCTTTAATTTGTTTTACCTTTAGCTCCATTCATTAATAGCCATTTTCGGTCAGACCATTTAACTTTAGAAGGAGATGATTTTGGACCGGTCCTGGACTGGTCCAGGTACTGGATTTGGTCTGGTACCACTTGTTGTTCCACCAGAGAAGAGCGAGTACTGGTTACCATAGTAACACACTGTGTTACTGTTAGCAGTGAGCATTTGGTAGCCTATGAACAGAATGGTTTTGCAGTATTTCAAGTTATATTCACCAGTGCGTATCAAAAGTTAGTGAAGGTAAAAATCAAATAAATTACTTACTTTTATTAAACTGGTGAAAAACTAAACATTTTTGGGACATATTTCATAATTCCATTAGTTTTAATGGGAGCAGCCAAAAGCTCTGAGAGTTCTAGTGTCAAGAGACACACTGTACCCGTGTTGTACTTTTGAGCTTCGACAAGAGGATATATGAGTGAATAGGATTATGCTCTGTACTTTTTTTGCATAGTCCAATGAATATAATGACAAGGGAGTACTCCATTTCATAAATCCGAAGTGATTAAAAGTTGCAGACGTCTGTGGTAGTGGTGCACTTTTCAGCTTGTGGAGACTGGACTATAAGACTGCTGAAGAATCTAAAGTGAATAGGTAGTATGCTGGTCTGTTATTATTGCATCGTCCAGTAAATATAATGACAACGTTAAACTGCACAATTCAAGAATCCAACATTGATTAAAAGCTGTAGACATACTGTAGAATTGGTGCACTTTTGAACTTGTAAAGACTGAACCATAAGAAAATACTGCTGTAGAAGATCAAGCGAATAGGATAAAGAATTGTTTATCTATTTAACACATGTATCTGTGTGCTGAAGCTACAGAAGATGGTAAATAGCGAACAAAAGCTTTAATTCAATTTGACTGGACAAAAGTTGACAGGCTCGGCTACACAACACAGACCAAAAATATGGGGCGGAAGGAGCTGTGCCACGCCTGAGCAAGAGCAAAGTGGCTGTGGGCGCCAGGAATATCCACTGGAAACGGCACTGGGAACATGCAAGAGAGAAACCAGTAGGAAAAGAAGTAGACGGAAGGAAATGCAGACTTCTTTAACTTATAATAAAAATATTGGACGTTTTTGCAAACCACTGTACCAATTCTTGACTAGGGATAACCAACTTTCAATCCACAAAAATCTGACTACAAAAAAATCTATGTAACTAGTTCCTCGATCTGAACGTGTTCAATCACCAATTTTTGCATGCATGTATTTTGTGGCCTCTGTCACATTTTTAGATTAATTTTTTCAGACAGGATAGTGAAAAAGAGAAGACCATCTTCACTCAGCCCTCAGAGCCTAGATCCATGCCTCAGAGTGACTCGCAATAGGGCTCTTTTTCTTTCTTCAAGTATACATAGTATATATAGTGAAAAAAAAAAAAAAAGAGGCAGACGGCATAATGTTGTCTGATTTGTTCACAACATGTAACTTTTAAACAAACTTTTAAAACAAAATTAATTATTAAAAAGAAAAGTTAGGTACCTGAGCTCATATTTAATGGCCTAAATCAGTGTCTCTCAAAGTGGGGTCCGGGCCGCAAGGGTATTGCAGGGGGGCAGCGAGAGGTCATAAAAAAAAAAAAAAGTTTTATATAATTATTGTATGTTAAATTAATAACATTTTGTTTGCTGAATTAAAATATTTGTGTTCATTCTTTGACTTGAATAATAAAATTGTAATCATTTTTGTATTACAAAATAGGGTGCATCATTTACATGTTTGTAGCAGAGGCTATTTCCCCCAAATAAGATAACGAGAAGAGCCTTTTTTTACGTTGTCTTCTTGGGGGGTTGCAGTGTTACTGACTTTGGGAATGGCTGGCCTAAATGATGTTTTGATACAGCTATGGCTAGACACATTCGCACAACTGAAGAATGATAGCCCGATTGTTACACTGGATCCATTTTGTAAGACTGCATTTTTGAGGGAAGTCCTACGTGTTGTTCTGGGCTGGACCCGCTGCTTACTCTGCTCAACGTCTCCTACCGATTGGGGCCAGTGGGTCAACACAGTGCACTCAAAGCATCAGAGCATTTTACATAAAGTAATGAGCTATCAAGCCGTCAGTGAAGCAGAGAGCGCAGCCTTAAGTGAACAGGGAAGGGAGTGTTCCAGCCGTTTCAGGGGTCAGTGCAGTGGAACAGGCCATCAGCCACTTCAAAGCCCAACCACAAATATGGACTGGCCTGAAAACCTACTCTAGTAAATCATTCATCAACAAGGGAAAGAAGACAGAGAAATGTGTTTTACTCTTCCATACTCTCTCTTTATATTATTACAAAACTTTACACAGACACTTGCGGATCTCCATGTTTAAGCACGACACAAAGACGAACAAAAAATAAAGTATTTCTCATCCGACAAAAGCATAAATAATATAAAAGACAAACTTTTTTCTTTAAACAGATACATTCATATGAAATAATATTTTACTACTACAAAAATAAATAAGGCATCTAAAAAGTCTTTGTTGTCTGTCCTTCCTCCAGCGGGGATTGCGCCAACACGCTCTTGTCACTTGTGTCCGTATCGTGTCCTGCTTACGTCTTTTCTGATGAGTTTATTCCCACAATGCTTTTCAAAGTTCTGTGTGGTTCAAACGTGCAATGCGGCTGGCCGTTTGTAAATCCTCTGTTTATCAAGGGTCCGTATCGGCCCCAGAGTCTCAGCTCGGAGGCTACAGCAGAGAGAGCGTGTGGGGAGGGTCCGGGGGCCTCAGACCTCCTGCGGTCCAGCCTGGATCAGCTCTCCTCCGCGGCTGCTACTTGAGATCCAGCTTGGCTTTTCGTCACAGTCCAAGTCGGTCAGCGTGAGCGCCTCCCAGCACACCATGGTCCCCTCCAGGTCCAAGCACTCCGGCTCCTCGTCCCCTGGAAACAACACGGGCTGTTTAGAGACTTGACACTGTCATTTTGCTGAACGTGTGGATGCTAAATATTGTGGGAGATATTGTTTGATTGACTGCAGCACAGCAAAAAGTGATGACATATGTAAGTTAAAATTTGCTAAAATTTGGGTAAATGTATTTGAGGACATTCTGACTGCCTTAAAACAAGATTTGCCAATGGGACAAGCAAATGTAAGAGAAGAAATACCTCTCTTGGAATAAAAAATAAAAAAACAGTTTTTGAAATAACACTAAGTGGCTTGTACCAATGCATATTTGTAATGCATTCCTTTATAACTTTTTTTACTTGCACCATTTACCAACGCAAAACCTCAAATAAATCACTAAATTAATTTTGACAATTTTGACATTTTGACAATATGATAGAAGCATCATGATTTGTTTTTATCAATTTAGTCATACAATCTAAAAAAATAAATAAAATTTGGTCAATGTTTAATTTGTGGTTAAGAACGACTGATCTATTTTAACCTACAGGAATTTCCTGCTCATACAGGTTTTGATGAAGCAGGATCCTGTCTGTTGTAAATGTTCATCATCATTCAATCATTATTATTGTTGTAAGTGAGTAGTAAGTAAGTAAGTAAGTAAGTTTTTATTTATATACCGCCTTTTCACTGCAGATCTGAGTCTCAAAGCGGTTTACAATTGTTAATTTTTGGGCATTTGTCTCTCACTCCACACAGAGATGGGAGCGGGGTCGCCAGTACAGGAGGCGCATGCCAGAACTATTGGACATATTTTTAGTGGTAGGGGAAACCGGAGTACCCGGAGGAAACCTACGCAGACACGGGGAGAACATGCAAACTCCACTCAGAAAGGCCCTGGTCCGACCGGGATTCGAACCCAGGACCTTCTTGCTGAGAGGCAAGAGTGCTATCCACTCAGCCACCGTGCCGCCCAATATTCAATCATTCATGACTAAAAGTAAATATGTTTAATAAGTTAAAGGAAACCATTTTAACAAAAATGTCAGAAAGACGTGCGTGTCTCACCGGTTCTGTCTGAGCTGTCAGTGTTGTCGCCCAGACAGCAGGAGTGCTGTGACGGTGACCCCCGTGGCTCCTGCGGGTACGGGCCGTTGTGTTCTGGGTCCCCAGTGTGAGAGTGGTGCTCAGGGCAGTGCTGTGACACCTGTCCCAGAGGAACCATCTCCAGGCCGTCCTGCTGGCAGCCGGCCACACGGTGCATTAGTGGGAGAGTGCCACTGGAGAAAGTGCCATTGGTTTTGTTGTGACATCTGCTTCAAAACACAGAGAAGATAATTATTCTTGAGGCGCCTACTGAAGACAAAAACGTCTCTTGTATATTGTTTGTTGTTTAGTATACATAGTGTGCCAGTGCGGTTTTGCTGTTTCCCTGAACTTCTCTCAATATTGCTTTATGATTGGATTGTGGCCACACCCCTCTTTCCCAGCAGCAGAAGTAAATAAACAGAGCGCTCATTAGGTTTCTGGCTGGGTGCACACAGGGTAAACTGTGATGCTGAGGACCTTTAAGTACATAAACAGATCAAGTAGTATGGGAAAAGGGTAAGTGTGTATATGATCATTAACCAGACTGCAGTGATCAATGAGTCACAGCAGTCGAGGTCTTCATATCTCTGTCACGTGACTAGATTCTTACCTGTTGTTGTTGCAAAGATTTTGACAGCTCATACAATCAGACGACTCAGTTTGAGGAAGTGCTGTGTAGATGCCTCCACCCTGATAGCAAACAACAAGAGTGGATTTAGCTTCAGTTACATTCATGCCGTTTCAAAGACTTGACCAGAGCCTTAGAGTATGTTCGCGACTCACATTATGGTGATGGTACGAGTGTGAGTGCTCGCAGTCCCGCGTGCTGTGGGGCAGCGTCCCGTCATGGCTGTGTGAGTGTCCCGGTGAGAACAGGCCTCCGGTACCGTTTATTAAAGACAGGCCGTTGGGGAGTTTGTGGTGGAGATGATGGCACCCCTGGGACAACATCTGGCCATTGTGTCCATAGCTCCCATGCACACCTCCATTGATGTGGTTGTTGCGAGCCACTGAGGTGTACTCGAGAACATGGCCATTCATCTCTGCTGGCTGATATCCGGCATAACCAGGGGGGTACTCTGATGGGAGAGAGGGGGACACATGTAACAATGCAATATATGTGGTGTTGACTGTAAACTTTAATAATAATAATAATAATAACAATAATAATAATAATAGTCATAATAATAATAATAATAATAATAATAATAATAACAATAAGAATACATAAAACTTGTATAGCGCTTTTTTGACACTTGAGACGTTGCACATGGGGAATAAAATACAATCAAAATAAAAAGGCGGTTTACAGAAAAGTTTGTTTGAAAAGATGGGTTTTGAGTACTTGCCATGGTGCGGACATTTTAGATTATGTTGACCTAGTTTTATTTTACTTTATTTGCTCTCTTGTAGTTAAAATTTGATTCCTGTCTGCCTTGTTGATTAGTAGCCTCACCCTAATGTGTGCTCACTGGTGTCTCCCCATGTGTGTATTTATACCCTGTGCTTTTCGCCCCTTGTTGTCCGTCCATTGTCTCTACCATGTTTGTCCTGTCTTGTTTTCAGTTCTGGAGTTTTTGGGTTTTGACACTACAGCCCTGCATTTTGGGTTCCCTTTTTCTTCATTTCCCCACGTGACAGTACTGATTTGAAGTGTATTGACGTAACTCTCTGACGCTGTACAAGCACTCACTAAGACATCATTAAACCTAAACAGATCATTATTTTTGTGTATTTGTATTCCTCCTGGGCACTACTCACTGTGCATGTTGTTCTGCTGACGATTCCTCCACAGACACATGGCGATGAATGCTAACAAGATGAGAACCATGACCCCTAGAACACAACCGACGATCATGTAAAGCAGCCCCCCCGGAGGACTGGCCGGCTCCTGAGGGTGTGGCCCTGGAGGAGTGAAGGGGTGCTGGCTGGGAGAGCCCGGGGCCTGTCGCGCTGTTGGAGAAAAAAGGACATAAAGTTCAGTGCTTAGTAAACAAAAGGCCCAGAGCACGAAGGGAAGAATTTGATGGTGTCATAAACTGCACTACTATTGTGTGATGTAATTATAGTGGTCAGAGCTGTTATTTATGTTACTGCATTACCAGAAACAAGCCCTGACTCCTGGATAAAGAGGAAGTTTGGTGACACGAGAGTCTTTATGGTCCTACCTTTGGTCTCGCATATCATTACGTTGCTGTATTCGCTCTCGCCCCCGTCGTTAAAACACTGCATCTTGATATCGTAGGAGGTCTCGGGCTGCAGGTGTCCAATCATATGCCAGTGCTTCACACCTGAGGGAAAAGGGACAAAGGTGAGTGAGGGCTTCCTGCTGCAGCTGCTCTGTGTTTACTCACAATCAAAGCACCCCCACTTTTTCTCTCTCTCCCTCTTTCTCTCTCTGAGGGCATGTTCAGTCATGCTCTCTCTATCACTCACTCCAACTCCAGCCCTCAGACAGTTGCTTTGCTTTAGACAAGCCCCATATATGGCGGCTTCATGTTTGTCCTGGCTTGTCTCCAGTGTTCCCACTCCACTCATGCTACACACACAACTTAACTCTGGACTCGCGGACCGGACTACAAGATGGAAATGCACGGTTGCTAGCGAATGAAATAAGACACTATTCGCTGGTGTGGCTGTAATCAATCACAGCGAAAGAACACAAAGCATCCATGCAGTCTTGTAGGCCTTTTCTTTTTTTGAACAGGTTTAGTTTTGCTTTTGTGAACCTCTTACAATGAAAATGAAGTGGGATTACCTAACTTTTTTGGTTTAGTTTCATGAATACATTTTGTTTGTCTCTACAGAAATCCGACCACTACATGCTGTGTTCATCTCATTCAAAAAGCATATATATTTTACATACTGAGAGCTGATTGGCTGAGTGAGGGCTGGTATTAGCATAATCACTGAAAAAGCCAATCTAAAGACCTGACAGTGGACAAAACTGCAGGCATGTAAAAACTAGTGATACAACCAAACCGTTTTGAGAATGAAGAACTGGTTACACGGATTTTAAGTATATTTTCTGTGGTTTCAATATTAGGTTCCGCAGCTTTAATGCTTAAAAAGTGTTATAATATACATATATATATATCTGGATCAAAGTTTTTTCAGTTTTAAGCTTGTACCAGGTCTAGCTGTTAGCATTCTTCCCAGCAACCAGAGCCGCGCTCCTGTGGCTTCTCTCAGATTTCAGGCCTGACCCATTAGCTGGCGACCATTTATTAAAAACAGATTTCGTCGTGTGAGCTTTCGGGGAGCAGCGAGTATAAATCAAACTGAAAAAATGCACAACACCACAGTATCCATTACACCCTCCCCGTTGATCTGCAGTACACGAGGACAGGGAGACTACAAATACTACTACACCACTACTACTACTTGATTCATAGAAAGAAAAACAGCCTGCTTATTACTTCAGAGCATATAAATAATACATCCATTATGTTGTTATTAAATGCTAACTTTGGGGCAGCTTTCTGTAACATCAATTATGTAAAATATTCTTCAGTAAACGTAATCTAATTTGGAAGAATATTACTGTGAATCCTTATGAGCTACTGTGAAAATGAGAGTTAGGTTAAGTAAACAAGAGGTGGTTAGTCACATAAAGTCTTTTCAGGCTATTGTTTTACTATTATTATCTATTGAAACTTAAAATGTGTGTCCACAACTTTGCGGTTTTAAAGTTTAAGAAACAGATGTTGGATAAAATGTAGGTCTTTCATTTATAATTCACCACACGGCAAATTATCTCATTTATATTTCAAACTTTAAACATATTTTTTTCTTGAAACCCGAAGAGAAATGGGAATATGGATTTTTACTCCCAGAACTGTAAGAATTCCCAGTGTTCAAAGGGAAGTAGTAAAACATCATCACTATTGCATTAAGACTAAGGTTTTCCACTTTTTTAATACTTCCATGACTTTAAATGCAGAGTTTCACTGGACTTACCCTCGACAGTGTCTCTCTTGTAGTCGCTGTCATTGTCGCTGTCCGTGGGTCTGTAGTAAATGTAGAAGCCCTGTATCGGAGTGTTGTTGTTGCTGGAAGGGCTGTACTGCAATGGGAAAAAGGAAAGGGAAAAAAAAGTTAGATTACTCCAATCTGGAGGGCAATTATTATTAAGGGAGCAGCTTTTCCTGTTACTAATGGTGGCCTTGTTATCAGCAGATGTATGCAGGACGCAAGTATAATTGTGATTGTGTCTGTCTGGACCTCAGAAATACAAATGGGTCTGAATAAGTCAAAGTAAATGCGGGGAACAATCTGCACAAATGGCTCTGGGAAGAAAGAAGGAGCTTTGATGAGTGCACAATGTAATGTAGATGACAAGTGCCCTTAATCTCAGCCCAGGCACATCTGTAATCAGTGCAGCCGCTTGTTAGAGGTCTGATTGGGTCCAGCGACCGAGTGGCAGTGAAAAATAACTCTAGTGTACATGCATTTGATGAATTATAGGGATGAATATAACCCTACATGGTGGTGTGATGTAAGAGACCGTAAAAGGCTTTGTTTGTGTCCTAAAAATCTCCTATGGACAAGTGAAAATTAGCATGGTCTTAACACTGGCTATAACACTAAAGGCAGTGCATCTGCTCTGTCCAATGTAACTTTGTATTTCAACTGTTTTTTTAAATGTACTTTTTTACTTGTATTGTCTTTGGGTGGCAAGAAAGGCGAGTAAGAAATAAAAAATGTATCGTTATTATTATTGTTGTTGTTGTTGTTATTATTATTATGACTGTTGTGTCCATATAAATATAAATAAATACATAAAAATAAATATAATGCATTATTTTTGACCATCAACACTATTGTGATATTATCTACTTTGTCGTTTCATGTTTTAAAAAAATTATCTTGAGTGGAATATATATGGGGATACAAGGATGAAGGGTAAAACATTTAAGATTTGCTACACATAGCAACAGAAAAAGCTTTGTAGTAAAAAAATGTGGGTAATAGACTGGCCTGCATGTCCTCAGCTCAAACTCAACTTGGACTGGCCTAGTTTTAAACCTGAGTTGTAGCAATTTTGGAGGAGAACGCAGTCATGTATCCATTAAGGAAATCTTGCCTTTGTAAAATGTAAAAGTATGGAAAATGTGTTATTATGTGTTGTCCATCATGTTTAATAATGGTGCCATAATAATAATAATAATGGTACTGTATGCAGGAGGGTCTAAGGGCAGTGATGACACGAGACATTTGGACATTTATGGACATTTATGGACATTTCTGCTTTGTCCAACCCCTATTCAAACTGTGTATTTCTGTTTATTGTGTATCCTTTTTTGCTTGTTGTATGTGTATGTTTATGTGCACAGGTTTGAAAGATTCACGGACAATGGCTGTTTGATTTTCATATCTGGCAAATTTGCCTCCGGCACAGTGTAATGTTTTCTTCACTTATTTAAATTATAAAATAGTAAAAAAAATATATAGTACAAAAAACAGAAAGTGTTCTTACAGTCCAGCGCAGCATTATCTGAGTGTCTGAGATGGCGTCAGTGGAGGAGATGTGAGGTCCCAGCACCGGTCGGTCTGACATCCTGGGACTGGCCTGAGGGACCTGGTAGGGCTTGGACGGAACGCTGTGTGGACTCTCTCCATACATGTTCATGGCCACCACACGGAACCTGTACGTCGAGCCTGAGAAGCAGAGACAACGTGAGTATGTGACCTGAGCTGTTCTTATTCCTTGACCCTTGTATGGTTTACTCTACCATTTGGTAACACAAAAACAAATTATGTGTGTTATTAGTGCTCCTTCATCTTAGAAAATCAAAATAAGAAACATCTACATTGATTTATACAAGGAGTGAACATTGAAGGGTTAAAGGAGCATTCCTCACCAGTTGTAGAAAGTTAGGTGACATGTTATATACAACATTGACTAACAACATTGTTCCTTCATTATTAATATTTTTTAATCCATCCACACTAATATTAGCACAAACCTGTGATAGTATGATGATGATTTCAGCTGGTAATTTTCATATTTGGAATAATAAACATTCTACACCCCCCTCTGCTGGTAGCATAGGGAGTTACAGACGGAAAGCATTGTTTTACCTTCATACTTGTTACACCATATATTTTCAACGTAAGATATTATTTCACATTCTAAAGCATGAAATAACGAAGTATGGAGTTTCTTTTTTATTTGAATAGCCAAATCATAATGCTTTATATTCCCTCTGTGTAATACACGGATGCTTACCAGGCTCCAGGTTTCGCACTTCCACAGAGAGTTTGAGAGGTGAGATGTTGTCCGCTGCGATGACCCACTCCGCACTGCGCCCACGCTTGTACTCCACACGGAACGCTGTGATGGGAGAGCCGCCGTTCGCTCTGGGGATCCACGTGACGTAAACTGAACTTTCTGTTGCCATGGAGATGGTCGGTCTGTCGGGAGCCTCGGGAACTAAATACAGAGAGAAAAAATAATGTAAGTAAGTAAGTCATCTTTATTTATATACTGCCTTTCACAATTGTTATTTTTGGGCACTTGTCCTCTCACTCCACACAGAGATGGGAGCGGGGTCACCGAACAGGAGGCGCATGCCAGACCTATTGTACATATTTTTTGTGGTAGGGGAAACCTACGCAAACACGGGGATAACATGCAAACTCCACTCAGAAAGGCCCTGGTCCGACCGAGATTTGAACCCAGGACCTTCTTGCCGAGAGGCGAGAGTGCTATCCACTCAGCCACCGTGCCGCCCAATGTAGATTGATTTTCATTTCGTTGGGACTAAACCTCAACAACATCAATCAATCGTCACTTCAAGAAAAATAGAAGCCGCATGCCTTAGAGAAATTTACTTACTGAACAGGCCCTTTGTCACAAAGTTAGAGATGGCAGAAGGAAGTTAGAGAGAAAATGTGTTAGTAAAAAGAGTGTAAAGAAGAGAGGCTATGGCAGCTTGAAGCGATAAAATCAATTCAATTCAATGCAATGTATTTTTGTATAGCTTGAAATCACTACAGGAGTCGTCATTGGAGGACTTTATAAAGTTGTCGATTCGCCAACAACAGATCAGGGAATCAAACAAAAGAAACATGCAAAAGCAGCGCTAACCTATAACCATATGTCAAGCAATGTTAACCAAAAATATTCAATTTGTTCATACTTAAACCTCACTAAAATACAACAATATTTTAAAAGTGTGCACATTATTTAATCTCTCTCTTTTCTTGCAATATTGTATTAGTTTTACAGAGAATTGCACAGAAAAAAAAGTTTTGATAACAAACTTTTAAGAATAAAAACACCAACAAAAATGCAGATTTTCTACCTCTGTCATGAATGACCACTCCAAAATGGGTGTTGGGTATTTTGTCCTCAGGAGCTTTGGGAGGCAGCGACACGACCGGAGGCTTGGAGGGATTCTTGTTGGAGGAGGTGCTTTTTTCTAAAATAACAACAGCAAAAGAAAAGGAAACATGAAACACAGCAGAAGACGAATCAACATCAGTTTGTGTGTTGTTCTCTGAAACTGTGGCACACTAATGGCACTGAGCTCATTCTGGTGGATTCCTCCGAAGTTCTGTTATAGATGTACAGCCATTTTATTACAAGGATTTGACCTCTAGTTGATTAATCCATATTCAGAACTGCTACAGAAGAATGTAGTCGTGTTGAATAAATAATTTACACCCAGACACGTCCTGTTTTAAACCTAGTGTAGGTTTAAACCTGGTGCTGGTACTTGGAAAGTGGAATATGCACACATGGTACTTTCACAAATTTCATCGCAAAAGGGTTTCTTTGATGGCGAGAAAAGACTGGATCTGAATCTTTTCTCACCATGATCTATTATACAACAAATAGAATCAAAGAAATATATTTTAGCAGATCTCAAAATCACAGTAGCCGTCTTCTAATGGCAAATTAGAAAAATCCCCATGAGTCACTATTTGGCTCTTTGGCCGAGTGAGGGTTGTCCTCTCGTTTTACACTTTCATGCATGAAAAAATCTGATCTACAGATGTGACAGACGCCAAAACACACATACACGTGAGGAAAACCAAACCACGAGTTAAAGAACCAAACTTTTTAAGAGCCAGAAGCTAGTTACATGTTTGTTATTACACAGATTGTTTGATAATGTAGCTTTAATACTCAGGCCGGCAACAGTAAGAGTATTATGATAGGAGTTAAACTTTGCGTCAAATAAACTGCTATTTACTCTTTGCAACAAAAGTGAACAAGTTAAGCTGTAATTTGTTGTTTTACTATTAATTGACACTTTATAATATTACTTCATAAATATTCAATGATGTAGATCTCCTTGTGCTCCTTCAGAGAACGCTAAGACGTCTCAGATTTGTTTGTAGACTTTGAGAACCCCTTCGGCTGCAATCAAATTTGTGGTTTGTGGCGTTTTATATTTGTGACCGGTGATTTCTTTTTTTCCAGCTCTTGTGCGGTGGACAATCATTGTGTGCTTTAGGGACACTTGTGGTCGCAGCATTTTATTTTTATTGGTGTCGCAAAGAAAGCGAAACCCGAGAGTACTACTTTGTTGAGCAAGTTTATGTTTAGACCACAAACTGACCATTTACATAAATATGCCTCGGAACACTTGACTCTAATTTGTATCTGGTTGAAAATGAATGACTACGGATAAGATTTAGCCAAAAGCTGATTTTTCTGTTGTATCACTGTTTATATTGTCAAAAGGTTTTGTTAGTAGTGTCATGTATATTTTAGCTTCTTCTCAAGATTGGGTTGGAATGTGACATTGAGATGGAGGCTGCAAGGAAACTTAAAAATCTTATCTATAATATTAGAAGTGGCAAAATATCCCCAATTTCTAGTTACACAGTGTTTAGACCTTTTCAAACATAGGCTGCTTGTATTAGTTCAGTGTCATGTTTTAGATCTTTCTCCCATTTTAAAACTTCCTGACTTACTTACGATAGACTAGACGTTATTTCATTGTTTTTGTACAGCCCAAAGTCGCAGCATCACTCATTTCAAAAGTCATCACAAAATCTTTGGTTTTCATCAGATTCAGATTCAGATTCATTTATTTGCCATTTGCAGTAAAACCACATTGGAAAAACTGTGCAAGACTACCCCAGTGAGCACCAGACAGAGAAGACGACACACACCAGAGCTCTTGCCACGGCGCCATCTTTACGGCGCCATGGACCGATCAGCAAATTAGAAAATAATATTCACAGGAAAAAATACAAATGGATCAATGTGCCAGAGCATTTCCCGTTCTTAGAAAACTCCAGGGAAACTCAGAAAAAAACAATTAAGGAGAGATACACCCTCATGAACAGACTAGCTGTATTTTTTTCACATTCTACTGTTTCAATCGTTTGGCATTATTGCAATGTTTTACAGAAAAATCCATTCCTTTTATGCTTTTTAGCCTAATAAAGGTTGTGTAAGTTTAGACATTTGATTTTATATTTTTTTTATTGTTTGAGCATCTTCTATTCCCACTGCTATGTACTGTGTGTTTCAAAACTAAAATGTCCCCACTTTGTTCAGTACATTCATCTTATCGACCTTTGCTTATGCTGACCTTTGCCGGTGCGGAAGGTGAGCATGGCGGGTTGGCCTTCTCCGGCTGAGCTGCGAGCCACCATCAGGACTTCATAGAGACTCGACGGCTCCAGCTCCGACAGACGCAGGGTTTTCTCTGAGCCCGGGACACGGATTGTCAGCCAGCTCCCCACCACCGTCCCCATTTCATCCACCTACCGACACAACCACACACAACCAACGTCAACAATGGGACTGTCAATAAAAAAATTTGATGATATTGTGAGACTGCGATAAACAATAATATTGAAACAGCTATTTTCCACTCACACAGTTACAATATAGCAGGATATTTCCAGTATACACTATTTGACATTAAATATAAGCATATACTATACGCAGGTAACTTAAAGGTGGGCTACTAGCATTTTCTCACCATAAATAAACCATTTTGTTTGTCCCAACAGAAAGAGTCTTGCAAAAAAAAATATGTTTTGAATAAATCCAAGTCTTCATCTTTTTATAAAATGCCTTACTTACAAGCATATTATTTTATATGCTTGTGAGAAAACATTTTTGGTTGAGAGCTGATCGGCTTAGCAAGAGAAAAAGCTGATCTAAAGATGCGGTTGAAGTATGTGAAAAATAGTAGTATCAAAACTGTCACAAAAAACAGGAACTTTTTAGATGGATTGTACTGTATTACATAATTATATTTTTTGCCTTTTGAAATAGAAGAACCCCAGCTTTAAGCAAAAGCTATGAAAGTGACCTTCACCTTAAAAATGATAAAAGTAGACATCTGGACCACATTTGCAGCGCAGAGACGTTTCATTTTCAAAACTTGAATGCAAGACGGTCCAGATGACTACTTCTGAAACTATTTGATCGATGGATTACACCACTTCAACCATATAATGCATCATTTTTTATTTAGCGTTTTTTTTGTAAACTCAAAGACTCTTCGCATGTTATTACTCATTCACTCCATACACGGTGGTCATAGCCACAGCTGCCTTAGAGCACACTGACAGAAGCGAGGCAACCAGTATGGGACCACCACCAACCATTCACACACACACCAGACTCATTCTAGTCAATGTGAGTGAAGTGTCTTGCCTAAGGACACAACAACAGTTTGGCATTTTGCAGCCGCAGCCGCCCCACTGTGGCACTTGGTGTTCCCAGAGGTCTCCCATCACAGTACTAACCAGGTCCTGTCCTGCTTAACTTCAGAGGTGTGAGGGGATCTAGCTTTCACATGCAAGTATGGCCACAAGCTCACATACAGCTCAAACGTTACCATAATACAAAGAAAATGACCAAAAAGATTCTTACTATCCCTTAGAAAATTCACAGACAATGAAAATGTTGCCCCAAAATATATTGTATGTCTCTTGTCTACTATCTCAGCCAACACAGGACTCCAGACGACATTTACCATAAATCAATCGAGCACCAGTCTCGGTCCGGATATAGGCAAAGACCCACTCAAAATAATGCCAGGGAGAATTCGGTAATAATTTCCCATGTACACTGGATGCTGCCAACAGAGTCCTTGGTATTGGCGCGATTCTAAAACAAGTTTATGAAGGAAACCGAGCTCTGACCAGAAAACGGTTAAACACCAAGCGGCTATTCCAAACAAGGTGACCAATTTATCATTACTGGAAAACCTCTGTAACATTTAAAAGGTGACATAGCATGCAAAATATTTTAAGAGCTTTATGTGTGTTTTCCCTTCGCTTTTACCCTCTCAAAGCCGTCTTCATGTTTGAGTAATCTTCATTTCTCATGCATTCAAGCGGCCATTCCTCCGGAAGTCCCCCTTTTCACGAGATAGATGTAGGAAGCGGAAACAGGCGTTTTGGCCCGAATGAAAAAACCTGAACCAATATTTGCTGTCATATCTGCTTTGGGTGACCTTGGTCTTTAAAATGCGCACATAAGAAGAAGAAGAAGAAGGTCCTTTATTCGTCCCACAATGGGGAAATTTCAGTTTGATGCATACACATATAGTACATACATATATACACATACACATCAAGGCATGCAGCGAACATCATATCCGCGCTCCTTATAGGCTAAGTGGATTAAGTGTCTTGCCCAAGGACACAACGACAGCAGGCATCAGTGAGAGTCGGTGGAGAACATTACTTACTTACTTTTGTTTTATTTTTCAGATTTTGTAAAAGCACAATTCAACATTTTTAAATAGAGATATCAGTGGATTAGTTTATTTTATGTTAACTCCTTGAAGAAGGCAATGTAAAAATAATGCATAAGGTGTAGTAGCATTAACAAGAAAAGTATATACAGTACGTTTTTTTTTTCAACTCCCATTTCTTTAATATAGGTCTCTACAAAATGATGGCGATTGATGATAAAAGTGCCTAAAACCAAGTGATAGAGAAGCCCCAAACAGGTAGACTTCACTTCAGCTGATATAGTGAAAAAAAAAAAGGTTCAGCCAACCATTCACTGTTTATCAACATTGAGCTCTGTAAAAAATGTAAAAACATAAAAAAGCGCAGAGTTTTTGGCTAAAGAAAAGTAGTTCCATTACCTTTCTGTATTTCACAAAGTATGCGTTGATGGGACTTCCTCCGTCGCGCCCGGCCCTCCACTCCAGGTCGTACACGTCGGGCTTGTGGGTTTGTGGGGGGCTGGTGATGATGGGGGCCTCTGGTGTGGGGCGGTCGTTGGTTCTGTCGGCCGGAAGCTGCTCAGTGTCCTCCTCTATGAAGAAGTGTTCCAGACCCTCGTCACTCTGCATGGGATGAGCTGTAGGAGAGGCCTCGAGGACAGCAGCGATGGTGGGAGACAGCAGGGAGTCTGTGCAAGAGACCAAAGTATTACATCTTACTTACATCTAGGGACAGATGCATGACAAAAACACTCATTTATGTTCTATAAATCTCTGCGATACCACAATCCATGCTATTACAGTAACGCATGATCCACACATGAGATCGTTTATGATGCATTACAAAGTCACTGCCAACTGTTTCTATTTTATGTTTGCCAAATGTTCAGATTCTTCTCAGGGTACAACGCTGGGCAGTCAGTGAATTCATGTAACTGTGAATGCAGGGGTATATGGGGCGACTCAAAGTCAAACTGGAAAGTTTTACATCTGGAACGGTACTTTCAATCTACATAAAAAAACATAAAACTGGATCTCCACAACTCTACATAATCAGCCTTTGTTTGTGTTTTTTCATTAAATGTTAGGCAGAGCCAGAGCAGTCCACCTGGGCAAATCCAACCCGCTGGAACGTTATTACGGCTGACACTACTTGGCAGACTGTGGGTGGAACATTTCACAGACATTTGGAGCAGGAGTGCGGCCCACAGGGGCTGGACCCGTGCACTGCCACACCTCCTCGGCTCCAGACCAGGGAGCAGACACATCGCAGAGGCTCAGTCCTCCTCAGTCTTCCTCAGTCCTGCCTCTGGTCCTGGGATGGTTTTGGTGTATGCAGCATTGGTTCACTTTGTAAAACAAACAGGCCTGGAGCTGGTAACACTAGACCTGATCCAGGACTACAGCCAGCTGCCACACATTCCACACTCCAACCATTAAAATACCAAAGAGAAACGCAGAGGCCAATACTACATCAGCTCTGCCCCGTGCTGCTCGGTGCCAGTCTCAGGCCTGACACAGGCACCACTCTGCCACGCTAAAGAAGGACACAACTACGACAACAAGCCCTCACTATATAAAGCAAAGATCCATACAGCTGCAGGTGTGTCGGAAAAGTGGTAACCAATAATATGGATTAATTAATCATGTTTTTAATATCCGTTAACATTATGACATACAGTAATGTTTTGCCTTTTAACAGGAAATGGGAAATTGTGAAATATTACAAATGTATTATGCCAATGAAATCAAAGCTGATACAAAAATTGTAGAAGTTTCTAAGCAACAAAGCCACTAGGATGCTCAAAACCCAATAAACAAATATTACACATTTGGTTGGGGGAAAAAAATTCATTATTTGAACAGCCATGACCACAACCTGGAGACTGGTACAAGCCTCTGAACCCAAACTAACCTCAGAGTTTACCTGTGTTTAGTATTTCCTGCTTATCGACCTCATTCTCTGTTTGCGCACTCTAAACATGGGTGCAGCTCACAGATATTAAAGCTCATTCTTCTTCTGGCCTGTGAAGAGGAGCAGAGCCGCCCCCAAACCTGCCTGCACTGCACTCCCTATATCCTGCCTGTATATGTAGCTGCATTAATCACAGCAGAGATACAGGGGCCAGCCGGAGAATGGGGCCCGGGCGCAAATGCTTAGGGAGGCTTTGAGGGGAGAGATGGAGAGGGGGGGGGGCTGTGATGTGTTAATAAATAAAAGCCATTTGTGTATGATGTTGACAGCTGGGTGGTCTGGTCCTCGTCATAACCCTTCATAGCTACTCCTTACATTCCAGCGTTCGGGGGCTTATCCCCAACGGCGTGCACAAAGCTTGCTCTCACGCTCAAGTTCAGTTCAAGGCTCAGGAGGAGGACAGCCTTGGCAAAGCCTCTTCTACCGGCACGCAAAAAAACATCAAGATTCACACTTTCAGAACAAGAATCCCCTACAGATATAGTGTACATCACGGCAATATACGTTGAAAACGTCTCTCGCCCTTAAAAATCGAGTAAATCAAGTTTTTTTGAGAATAGTAAAATAGACACTGACATATTTATACAATTGACTGTGTTTAGATAGACAATGCTGATCTGCTAACTCTATGAAGCCATAATAGGGAGGTGCTCATGGGCAGTGTTTTACTCCATATCATCTTGGCTCCCATACACATTGAAAAGTAAACTCCACTAGCTCTGTATCCGTTTGTGTCAGACTCAACAATTCAGGCTTAAAAATCTGTGGTGTACTGCTCTCTATGATCCTTGTGTTATTTTTTCTGATGTTGTATTTTTAAATCCAGAACAACTGACTGACTGCTCAGGTGCCTTGTGTTCCCAAATTCAGCTTCAGCTAGGAAGAGAAACAGCCCAGTGAAGTTCCCGATTTGCTCTTTGGTTGCTAGGCTGTTGTTACCCACAAATTTGCCGAAAGATTCCCATCCATAAAGCTGTTTATGGAGTTGACTTGGTTAATCCAGTCCTTCTACAATATGATTTTTAAGCATTTTGTAACAACTATACTCAAATACTCAAGTCATTTGTATTGAAGTATTGTATTGTATTGTAGAAGTAGGACCTCACCTGACTTGATTGAAAGCATCCCATGTGACTGCACTGCGGAGATGCCGTTGTCCAACACACACTGGTACATTCCTCCATCTTCTGGTCTCACGTTGGGGATGATGAGTGAATCTTGTGTCACCTGAAAGTGCTGTGAAGGTTTCAGAGGTTCCGTGTTGAACATCCAGGTGATGTTGGGGCTCGGGGTCCCTCGCCCTTTGCATCTGAAGTGAGCGGAAGAGCCGGGAATTTTCAGCTGATTTGTTATTCCTTCTACTATCGACACAGGTTCTGAGGAAAGAAACGAGCAACATATGAAAAACTGATATACATTGTATATCATTTAGGTAAGTATAAAGCAGGGGTGTCAAACTCATTTTTGTCAGGGCCGAATTAATAAAGAAATAGCTGGTCAGGAACCAACACTATAAACAATTCTTGGTGAATGTATATGTTATATTATAAAGATATTTTGACCAAAACGATTATTATATATCTAATAATAATTTGAGTTGGGATAAAATCAGTTCAGCTACAGTTTGTTGGGATTGAACATCTAGGAGTATTATTTCTTTTAAATAATAGTAGTCATCTAATTATAAGTGCCAATCCTCCAACAAGCGCAAATCTCTTTTGTCATCTCAGCTTCATGCAACATGCCAACTTCTTTAATCAAGCAAGTTATGAATGAAAGAATACCTAGAAAGATACTAAAATGTGCATGTGTGTTGACGTAGTCATTTGCATAAGTAATGGGCGGCACGGTGGCTGAGAGGATAGCACTCTTGCCTCTCAGCAAGGAGGTACTGGGTTCAAATCCTGGTTGGACCAGGGCCTTTCTGAGTGGAGTTTGCATGTTCTCCCCGTGTCTGCGTAGGTTTCCTCCGGGTACTCCAGTTTCCCCTACCACTAAAAACCTGTACACTAGGTCTGGCATGCGCCTCCTGTACTGGCCCCGCTCCCATCTCTGTGTGGAGTGAGAGACAAATGCCCACAAAAAAAACAATTGTAAACCGCTTTGAGACTCTGATCTGCAGTGAAAAGGCGGTATATAAATAAAGATTACTTACTTACTAATGTTTTGCTTTTACCTACATTTTGTCACAAAATATTTGAAGAAAATTCTCAACAAATGTATAAGATATTAATTGCAATTGTCTATTAATCAGATTATTAAAGAAAACACGGATATAACAACCTGTTTTTAAACCATGTAGTGTGTCGTTGAATATATACAGTACCTAAAACATGTACAGTGTAGGCGACACTCAAGACCAGTCCGTGTCCAGACTCGGCTGCACAGGTGTAACTCCCGGCATCTTCTTGTGACGTCGAAGTGAAGACGAGGTTGTTGTGATGAAGATAAATTGAAGATTTGAGAGTCACTTCTTTTCCGTTTTTAAACCATTTCGTCGCCGGTGTCGGACTCCCAGAAATGACGCACTCCAGTGTTAGCGAATGAGAGGGCCGCGCTGAGACGGTCATCGGGACAGAAGGGAAAAGTATTTGGACGGGAGCGGAGCTGTCCACGGGGGATTCTATTAAACAAATACAACATAATTCAATTGAGATGTTTACTTAAAAACTTTTGGAACACAATTACACCAAACAAAATACCAGAAAGACAAAATAGTTGGCTGAATAAAAAAACATGGTCTAATAATAATAATAATAATATTTTTTTGTTTAACTTACTACATTGTACATTAGATCAGTGTTTTTCAACCTTTTTTGAGCCAAGGCACACTTTTTTCACCTTTTTTCGTCCTGAACGCGAGTCCATGGTTCTGTCCGGTCCGCATGTCTGTGGTTCTGTCCACTCGACTATGGTCTGCGCTCGGTACCCAGTTCAGAAGTGTGTTCGCGAGAGCTGTTGTACAAAAATTGTACATTTCATAGTTAAACCACTACAACGCGGCCACAGCTGCCCCGGGGCAGAGCGGAGGATGTTAATCCTGTTCAGAAACGGCATAATTCATTTTCAAAAACGTCTCTATCACTTTCACTTCTCACTCGCCACAAAGCTCTTGTCTCGCTCCCTCCCACATTTGTTGGTCGCATCCAATTTTACCTTTTTCGCCACAATGCTGACCTGTTACAGCCAGTGGTCGCATCCAATTTTTCAGTTTCAAAGTACTTAGCTATCTGCTGCCATCTACTGATTTGAAAAAGTATTACATGGTTACTCCACAGTTCAAAACAAGTCACTGCTCGTCAACAGCGAATGCAGTTATTTTTAGACAAAGTAGACGAATTTCTCACGGCACACCAGACAATATCATACGGCACACTAGTGTGCCGCGGCACAGTGGTTGAAAAACACTGCATTAGATATTACTATACAATTCAGATGATGATAAAATAATACTTACGTTTGACAGAGAGCTTGGTGCCATGTGTCTGCATCACAGTTTCTCTGGTTACTGGGTTGTAAGCGCCACATTTGTACATGCCTTGGTGTTTGGTTGATGCTGATAAAATTTGCAGATTGCCAGATGGAAGAACTAAATAGTCACCTACAAAATAACGATAGAGAAATTAAAATGTAAAAGTTGCTTAATATACAACATATATTTGTTGTATAATATATACAACAAATATACCTGTTGACGTGGAGTCCCACAGGGGTCGATCCTGGGACCTCTTCTGTTCAATCTCTACATGCTGCCGTTAGGTCAGTTAATACGCAGAAACAAAGTTTCCTATCACAACTATGCAGACGACACTCAGATCTATGTCTCACTGACTGCAGGAGAACATGGACCAGTGGACTCACTCCTTCACTGTATCCAACAGATCAGTGAGTGGATGCAAAATAACTTTCTCCAGCTAAACACAGACAAAACTGAAATGATTGTCTTTGGTCCCCAGAAACAAAGAGAGAGCGGCATCTGTCACCTCCAGTCTCTCTCCCTAAAACCTTCAAACAAGGTCAGAAATCTAGGGGTAATACTGGACTCAGACTTAAATTTTAATAGCCACATCAAATCAGTAACATCAGCAGCTTTTTACCATCTAAAAAACATTGCCAGGATCAAAAACATAGTGTCTAAAGCAGACCTGGAGATTCTTATCCATGCATTTGTCTCCAGTAGGTTAGACTACTGCAATGGCCTGCTCACAGGTCTGTCCAAACAGGCTGTAAAACAGCTGCAGTACATTCAAAATGCAGCAGCTCGAGTCCTGACTAGAACCAGGAAGTACGACCACATTAGTCCAGTCCTCAGGTCTCTGCACTGGCTTCCTGTGGCTCAGAGAATAGACTTTAAAACAGCTTTGCTTGTGTACAAGTCTCTCCATGGCCTCGCACCAAAATATATTAGTGACATGTTAGTCCCATATGAACCAGCCCGGACTCTGAGGAGCACAGGGACTGGACTCCTGTTAGTGCCCAGAGTCAGAACTAAACATGGGGAGGCTGCTTTTCAGATTCATGCTGCTAAAATCTGGAACAATCTTCCTGAAGATGTGAGACAGGCCTCCTCTCTGACAATGTTTAAAGCCAAGTTAAAAACGGTGCTGTTTAGCTGTGCATACAACTGAGGGATTTTATATTTTTATCTTTCGTTTTAATGTTCTGTGATTATTTATGATTTTAATGCTATCTTGTTCAGCACTTTGAGTTGCCTTGTGTATGAATTGTGCTATACAAATAAACCTGCCTTGCCTTGCCTTGCCTATTTGTACTAATTTATACTATATTTTTTCATGAACAAACCTGATGACTCTTCTATCCATTCCCCTTGAACCCGTAGCCTTGGTAACGCTGGAGGAACACTGCGCGGTAAAGGGCACTCTATGACAACAGTACTACCCTCCTGCGCCGATAACGACCGCCGTCTGCCTTCTTCATATTCTGAAATTTCTGTGAAAGACAGAGATGTGCACATATTAAAACACAAAGCAACAAATGGAAAAAGTACAAAGGCCCGTGCTAACCGCTACTTCAGTGAATGTTTGTTTTGTGTCTTCGCTTGTGTTTATTGTGGTAATCTATGATGTGGTTGATACAGCCCTGCAGCCTGATAGTTCCCCAGGGCGATGTATTTAAGTGGTGTTTTAACAGGAACATAGCGCACTAGACAGGAAAGCCCAGGCTCATTAAGGATACTAGTTGAGAGACACTGGACAAGTGCCCAACAAAAACTCCTACAGTTTCCTTCCCCTTGTGCCACTCAGCAACAACCAAGGGCACATTCTTTACTTCAGCACCCACAAAACGTTCGCCTTCCTTTCTGCAAAGTTGCTTCCTCCCTTTCTCTCTCGCGGCTTTGATGTGATTGTGAGTACACACAGAGGACCGAGGCCAAACATCCGTACCTGCAATAGCCACGTGCGCGGGGCTGCTGGCGATGGCGGGCCCTTGGGCGAAGGGGGTCACGCAGTAGTAGGGGCCGACATGGCTGGGTTTTAAAGATGAGATGGTGAGAGAGCCTCCATGGATCTCCACTGCAGAGAGGACGTCCTGGTCCAGCGGCCGGCCCTTAAAATGCCACGATACCGCTGCTGACGGAGGCGATACTGAGCAGTGCAAATGAACCACTGATCCGGCTCCTTGGACCACAGAGGAGGGCTCAGACAGGAACGACGGGTACTGGTCTGTGAATGCAAACAAAACACAAAATAAGTGTTTCAAAAATGTCAAATTCAACTTCAAAACAAATGAATACACTTTTCTACTCTAACTATTGCTCTAATATTATCAGTGTTATTGGATCTTACACTTCATTAATGGCAACGCAACGACTGTCCAGTTTTGTTTAGAAGCAACGACTTAAATACTGACTGACAAATAGTCTTTATTAGCAATTTAATTTTCTTTTCTTTTTTTTAAGTTAAAGATACTATTATGTGCGGTTATTGTAATTTACACAAAGTATGGATACTTGCTCACATGAGTATCAAGGCTAGGCAAGTTTGCAAAGCACAGTTCATGCAAAAGGCAACTTATGTTCGACTAAATAGAACTGTTTTTAACCTGGATTTGAGTAGAATCTTGTCTCAAATTTTTTGGAACTTTAATATCTGATTTGGATCATTTTGACTCTAAATGAAATGCATATAAAACGACCATTAAAGCAGCATCAGTGCTGTGTCTCAAATGTGAGGACTTACATGAGCAGCTGATGAGCAGCGAGTGGCTCAGACACAGCACAGTGGACAGGAGGACCCTGAGGCCACTGTCCATGATGCACCTCCACCCCTGCCAGTCGCCCTGCTATCCAGCACCCTCCTCCTTGGATCGGGAAACACTGCAAAACAACACACAACATTTAACCCAATATGTAAATAAAATAGTACTAAACAACATCGAAATATTTAATCGAAATATAGAAAACGATATATTTACAGAGGACATACAAGAATACAACTCCAGCAGTTCCTAGGCCGTCCATCTAAAGAGCAATGACACATCCTCTTTACACACTCCTTGATCTCGGCACTGCCCCCTCTTCTGACCCACTGAGTGAGTGGAGAGGGAGGAATGTCTCGGGACCCCTGCCCCTGTGTCCCACCTGCCCCTGGAGTGTAATGGAATGGCTTTAAGAGACGCTCTAATATCACTCTCTTGTCACACTGCGCTGCTTCCTCATAGGTTCAGCGTAGCCTGAAGTGCAGTCCCAACACACACAGTGAACAAGAGGAACGCCAAAAGAAGCTCCAGAAAAGGAGTGGAGGGCACGTAATTAGGAGCATTCCTCTATCCTTTTCAAGCCGACCCCCTCCAACCGCGGCACCACCTCCCACTTTTCCACGAGTAATCCTGACCGGCTTTGATCCCAGGTTCCTGGTTGGTTACTAAGGTTGGAGCCTGAGGTCTGGGACACAATAGCAGTCCAGCTGTGATATTCAGACCGAAGCTTGGGCACAGGGCAGACACCAGCAGCAGCACTGACCAGTGCCAGAGGCTGGGTCAAAATTAAAGGGATAATGTGTTTCTGGGATTACGGCAGGTCAGGAGGTTTCTCATCTGAATTTCATCAGCTTTACCTTTTTGATCGCATTAGAGCTATGGGGTATCTAATTTTCACAGAGAATTTGAAACCATTCAACAAGATGGCTTCAAATCAGCTTTCTCATACAGAAAAGTGATGTGAAAATAACCACCCCTTAATCAGCTCATTTAAAGTTCCATATATTGTCTATTTGGACACTTTTTCAAAATAGAATGTTTTGACAGCAAGGTGCAATAAGATTGACATACTTTAACGTTTTAAGTCTTTCTGTGAGGAAAACAATGTTTTCTTGAAACAAAAAAGGATATACTTGGTATCACACCTTTAACAAGAAGTTTCACTTCAGAAATACTTTCATCTTGGCAGGGACTGAGGTCTTAAGGTTTTTAAGTACAAAATGGCTTAATCATTTTAAAGTTCATCATCGCAGGGATCTCTTTTTTTGCTTTCATTTATTTAGTTCTGGGCCCTACATCTATTTTTTTTTTTTTAAATCTAGGTCCAACAGTGTTACACAGATGCAGTCTTGTCCCTTCCTTCATCTCAGTCCTCACATCTTCAGTGAAGAACAAGGAGACGCAGGAAATAATAAACTTCCAGAGCTGCTGGCTCATGCCCAGTTCTCACCCTGAGGTCAAAGCTCACCAAAGAGCAGAGAAGCATGAACTCTCCACTGCCCCCCACAGGTCACCGTAATCAGTGGTATGTCGTCAACATAATAAAATGTGATTTACACAAGTGCTTTACAGTGCATTATGTCTCTGATGGTATGAACATACTGTTACCACATCTGCACCAGGGTAGATGCAAGGCAGCCTCCCAACCACCACACATTGTTTCAGAGTCATGACAAAAGCAATGTACGTGTGAAGTGTTGTTAAAGATCTTAACACAAGTTTTATCCACAGCCTCAGAAACCCTCCTGTGGCACCTGCACTGCTTCATTTTTTTAGATCAAAATGCAATCTGGATTGGACTAGCAGTAATTGACAAATGAGACCATTTTGATTCACAATATTGTCTGGTGGAGTATTTTTGCAGACTATCCCAATGTGGTTTTAACTGCAAATGACTCAGACTTAAATTTTAATAGCCACATCAAATCAGTAACATCAGCAGCTTTTTACCATCTAAAAAACATTGCCAGGATCAAAAACATAGTGTCTAAAGCAGACCTGGAGATTCTTATCCATGCATTTGTCTCCAGTAGGTTAGACTACTGCAATGGCCTGCTCACAGGTCTGTCCAAACAGGCTGTAAAACAGCTGCAGTACATTCAAAATGCAGCAGCTCGAGTCCTGACTAGAACCAGGAAGTACGACCACATTAGTCCAGTTCTCAGGTCTCTGCACTGGCTTCCTGTGGCTCAGAGAATAGACTTTAAAACAGCTCTGCTTGTGTACAAGTCTCTCCATAGCCTCGCACCAAAATATATTAGTGACATGTTAGTCCCATATGAACCAGCCCGGACTCTGAGGAGCACAGGGACTGGACTCCTGTTAGTGCCCAGAGTCAGAACTAAACATGGGGAGGCTGCTTTTCAGATTCATGCTGCTAAAATCTGGAACAGTCTTCCTGAAGATGTGAGACAGGCCTCTTCTCTGACAATGTTTAAAACCAGGTTAAAGACAGTTCTGTTTAACTGTGCATACAACTGAGGGATTTTATATTTTTATCTTTCTTTTTAATGTTCTGTGATAATTTATGATTTCAATGCTTTCTTGTTTTGTTCAGCACTTTGAATTGCCTTGTGTATGAATTTTGCTATATAAATAAACTTGCCTTGCCTTGCCTTGACAAATACATTGATTCTGATTCTGGAACAGGCAAGCACGAGTTACAACAAGCCCCGACTCACTGCCCCTATGTCATCACTGCAAACTATCTTTCTGTCTGTTTCAGAATAATGACATATAATTACAATAACAGCAGAGTCATATGATGTGCAATAGGGGTAGGTACAGTATAAAACAAAGACGCTGAGACAGAAGTTTAGCCTGAGACAGAAGTTTAGCCTGAGACAGAAGTTCAGCCTTTTCTCTTCGATTCTCATTTGAATGTTGAAGGCAACGCTCAGTCTCTATGTGTAAACATAGAAACATTATCTGTCAAATCCATCTTCCGGGACGAGGAAACACAGGGGCATCGTTCGAGGAGCTTATCTTTGCTCTGCTCTGACATCCGCCAGCATGAAGCCAGCCCAGAGGAGACTCAGATCTTGTATCCCTAATGCTGGCAACATTTTAGCTGCATGGATAGAGGTGCACCCTGCTCAGTCCTGTAGACAAGGTCCAGGCGAGACAGAAAAGCCAGTTTATTGAGTTTATTGCTGACAATGGGAAAGTCCCTGTGAAAGGAAAATGAGGAAAGCAGCAGACTATCTCAGTTCCAAGAAGAAATGAATGCCTCAGTTTTAACTATATATAGTAACTATATCATTTCTACAGATTGCAATAAAGAACCAAAAACTGAAGAATGTATAACATTATTTATATGTACTTATATTCAGGGTCTCCCTGTAAGGTCTTTTGTGAGTCAGTCGACTGCAACATAGAGTTGGGTTTCACCAGTACCCATCCATCATGGGAGGAGCACAAATGTCTCCTAGACTAACAAGACTTCTACCTGTCTCCTTGTAGGACATGAGGATCCCTGGTGATGACACAAGAGAAAATAAACACACTGACATGTCGCCCCAGGGGCAAGGAAAAGACTCAGCTTGAGGAGGGGGTAAGCACCTGCAATTCTGAACAGGAACTCCTGAAAACCCCATCCGTATCAAGCACAACATCGTTATTTCAGATAAGTCATGACAGAAGTCATGCATTGGAGCTTTTAGACCCCAGGGCTCAGAACAGGTAACAACTAGTGAAGCCGACTGAATAGCATTGTACATGTCACTTGTGTGACACTTTCACAAAATTGATGCTGATCTAACGTGATGTGAGAAAACAGCATCAAGTATTATACTAACTTTTTATTCCCTGAGATATCATAACTTCCTAGGCAGCTTTTGAATACATTTTTCCAAACAATTCATGAAGGTTTAAATAAAGAGAACAAAAGGCATTAGATTCACTGTTTATTTAAAATAACCGTTTGAATCTCAAAGCAATAAAAGTGGAGCCTTTTTCATAAGAATGGTCAGATCCACATAATGCAGCGTTCTATCTTAATCTCCACTGTCCAGGAGGGAGAGGAGGCTGAATGTGAACTGCAGATGAAGTCAAGTATGTGGGAAATGTTAAAAGCTTATAGGCCCTCAGAACAGTACATTAGGCGTAAGAGATAAGTGGTGCGTAAAAGATAGATCGGGTTATTTCAGGTATGATGGTCTAATCTGACCTGTGGACTGGAGATGATTCACATGCTATATCCCCAACCTGTCTCCACTCGCCCCTCATCTCTCTGACAGAGGATCTACAGCGTGCATTCCTCAGCTCCACTCTGAGAAACACCGCATCCCGATGCAAGATAAATTCACAAAAAACCAAAAACAATACGATGCAACAGGGGGTCTTGAAAGCAGTCAAAAGCTCTTCTCAAAAGCTCTTCAAGATTAATAAAAAAAAGGGGTTAGGGGTGAAAAGTTGCCAAGCCTGCCCAATTTGGTTTAGATAATAGACGAGATACATATGCCAGAATTGACAGACGATGTACTACATTGAGTAACTTGAGCAATACTGTTCAGAAAGACCATTATAGGCTTCCTGAATTGGTCTGGGTGATCCCATGGAGCCAGCCTCAGGCCACAAAGCACAAATAAAGAGTGGAAACGCATGGGGCCTGATTAAAGACTGAGACATTATTAAAAGTAGGACAGCTCTACAGATGGGAACAAGCGAGGGCTTCGGTTGAAAATTAGCAGAAAGCGAGAGGGGGTCTATTTTGTTTTATGTCCAAAAGAGAATATCACATTCCACTGATTTTAATGATCGCTAACAGAAGACGACTGTCCTTGTCTGAAACTGAGATTTTGTAGAATGTTAAGGCAAGTTCTCCTCGATAAATCTTGGGAATGGGAGTGAGGGAGCAGGAGATAAATGGGCTACAGCTACAAGGACAGTCTGCTTTTTAGACGTGTCTGTCTCTCAACGTAATTTGTCTGAAGGACAGGAGGCAGAGCCGAGGTCAAACAAAGCACAAAAGAAGCACAGAGAGGAGAGACGATGAAAATAGAGTTTATACACAATTTGAGTGATCATTAAAAGGGATTTAATGCATAGTCGAGTGGAATGAATAACTACTTTTTAAATGCCTTTATAGAACACAACGTTGCTTAATTGTCTTCACATTACAGAAGTTAACTACAGTATTTTGAATAACAAAAACTAAACAATTTAGTATTATGTTGGTCTTAAATACAAACATATATTTAGTCAATGCATATATGTGTTGTTTTTTTCAGAAACAAGCACATTATCTCTTTTAATTAAATAAATTGATACTGCTCTTGAAGTAAGAGATTGCTTGTTCAACTGGCAATTTTTTATATTCAAGCGTTTAGTACATTTTCATCATTTTCACAGTATATGATATTAGGGCTTTAACTAACGATAATCAATGAATCTACCAATTATTATTTTGATAAAGTAGTAGTTTAAATAGTAAATATGTTATTGCGATGATATGGTGATCAAATGGATTTAGAGAAACTGTCGCCAACTTGCTGTTTCTACACTGGACATCCATGAAGCTGGGGTGAGTGCAGGGCCAGGCCTATCCCAGAGCACGACACTGCCCCTCTGTGCGACCAGATGAGAGGCCCAGGGGATCAGACAGTCACATCTCTCAAAGCTCTGTTTACCAAGGACACACAAACCCCCCTCTCCTGCAGACCCTCCCCGAGTGCCAGGGCCGGGACCCGGGATACCACACTAATTCTAGCCCTGAGGCTGCTTGGCCCAAAATAGGGGGAAAGGCGAGAGAATGAAACAGTGGGGAAGAACTGAATGGTACTGTATGTAAGAGCTATTTTAATTGGGAGATTGTTCTGCGATGTCTTGTTTTTCCTGGGAATTCGCGTTCGGGGGGGGGGGGGGCAGGATAGCGAGGAGGTAGGGCCAATTCCCAAGGACCTGAACAGCGGGATTAACTCAATAGCAGCTCTCGGACAGTGGAAACAGATCCCAGGGTATCGCTGCCATACAAGGCCACGGTGAGACCGCTCGGGTTGCACATGTAACTAACAAGCTGTTCCCATTGTCAGAGCGCCTTGGGGTCTTCCGGTTGATTTCACAGGCCTTTGAGCCCACACGGGAACGTCTCCTCTGAAGCAAAAAGGTAATTCTGATGGAAAGGATGGAATGCACCAGGAGAAGGCCCTCTGCTGCCCACGGGGTGTTACAAGCCTGATCTCCAGCATGTGCCAAGAGTCTAATTCATCACGCCAGCCGAGAGGGGAGCCGGTATTCAGCAGCCGTGGCACCAGGGCACAGGAGGCCATGGATCCACATTCCTCCTTATCAGATTTGATTACAAAGATGAAGGCAAACCATGTTGATGCAGAGAAGTCGGAAAATGTATCGAGCTGGAACCTATACATTATATGTATGTAAAAAATAAACCCGGGTCCGACAACTTTGAGGTCCTGTCTTCATGTGTCCCACTGAGAAGAAGGGAGCCATGATGCTTTCAAAGGTGTCTCGTAACTTTGAAATGTTTAAAATAGAATTATTGTATAAGCACACGCAACATTTGTTTACTTTAAGTATCTATTAAATGCACCATATTTCCGGCTTCCTCTGCATATAACAAAACCAAGCTTATGCATCCAAATACAAATATTTCTAATATCTGCTGCCTGTGTCTCAATAGAAGCTACATGTCACCAAATTCGCATTAGATATGGTTCTATTCAGTTACGCCAAAAGAACTGCAATTTTCCTAAACCTGTGTGTCGTTGGCAAGTGTGACACAGCTCCCATTGGTGATTACTGCCGTGTGTCCTCGCCATAGACTGTATATAATAACGGACAGAGTCACGCCTATCTCCGCCGTTCATAGGAGTTGGCCATGAAAAGTGCTTTCATGGAGCAATCCAAAATGGCCGCGAGTGGTCCCGCCCACAAGAAAATTGTGAAAAAAGCATCTGCGCATGCGTCAGCCGGCGCAGCTCCATTCATTTGAACAAGAGACTTCAAAAATTCACAGAGAGTAAACTAGAGTGGACCAAAAAAATTCACCCCCCTCAGCATTGACACACATGTGGAACGGAGCTTTGGTCCATCCTGTAAAGACGTTTTTGAGAGGTCTGCCAACGCTATATGTTAGCATTGGCTAATTCTTCTTCTGGGTCCACCCCCATCGGCCCGGGGTGGTATTGCAATCATGTCAGTGCACGTCATTTTGGCCACTTTTGAGCTGGGACCCTCCCCCACTGGTCCTCGCCCAGACACCAGTGTCTACCCCTGCCCCCTGTGTCTGCATACACTGTTGTGTACACGGGTGCATGAATGTGGTTCCTTGATGTGAAGCCATTTAATGCTATTGAAAAGGTAGAAAAGCCCTAAGTGTCCATTTACTAATCATACCCCCCTTGCATGCTTGAGTTAAGGCTAAACCCATCCATCCATCCATCCATTTTCTTCCGCTTTATCCGTTGCCGGGTCGCGGGGGCAGCAGTCTAAGCAGAGACGCCCAGACTTCCCTATCCACACACACTTCCTCCAGCTCGTCCGGGGGGACCCCTAGGCGTTCCCAGGCCAGCTGAGAGACATAGTCTCTCCAGCGTGTCCTGGGTCTTCCCCGGGGCCTCCTCCCAGTGGGACGTGCCCGGAACACCTCCCCAGGAAGGCTAAACCCGTTCTGGCCTTAAAATGGTTGATATTTTTGTTGATCACCAATGATAAACTAAGATGGGATCGGTGAGGGATCTATTTTCGTTCGTTCGTGTTTGAGGGCTTTGTACAAGTACACAGAGAAGAATAGGAACCACAATGATGCAGAGACGACAGACCACTGTCTTACCACTGTTTTGCAATCAGTTAGGGCCATATCTGTGATTCTAAACGTTGTTGTGCGGGCTGTGAACTATGGGCAGGGGGTGATGTGATCCAGCTGCACCCTCCCCTCTCTCTCCTGGATTCCATCAGTGCGTCTCTACAGCAACAAGCGTGGAAAGACGCAGACAACAGTTTCTGCTCAGTCTCTTCCTGATAGCTCCCTGGCGGCACACCAGAAATTCTTTCAAAGCATAAGCATACATTTAATATTGTAATTTCAAATGCACAAAGTCAACAAAATGACAAGGTGTCCCAAAAGATACAAATCAGAAACACGTCTTCAGAAGCCGAAGACAAATCTGATTTACTTTGTCTTTGTTTGTTCTGTGAAAGGAACAAGTAAGCAAGAGTATTTTCATTTCTCAGGATGAAAAATGGCCTGTCTAAATAAAGTGGACTGGCTGTCGTATATTCACAGAAACATCGAGCTTTGCAGCAGGACAAAAACAAACACGGGGTAATTTACAAAAGTCTTCCCCAACTAAATCCCAAACAAATAAACTAGTTTCCATGTACACAGCAGGCAGAGGACGCTCCTATGAATGTGCAGCTCTCGTTGAAGTGCGCTAATTCTTTATTTAGATTGTCTAAATGTTTATCCGTCTTGCCTTGTAACACTCCACGCTTGTTGTGCCTCAATCTAGAGATCACAAAACAAACCGTGGCGGTGAGTTTCCACGTTTGGCTCTTGGACAAACTGGAGAAGGCTCTGATATAGCTTCCTCGCCCCCTTCGCTGATGCCATGCTCCACGTCAGCGGAGGTTTTTTGGCACAGGACAAAGATGCTCTGCCAAAACAAACATTGGAGTATGATAACAGCAACATTAATATTTATGCAACCAACTTAATGCCTCAGGACTCTGATCCAACCACCAATTATATTAACAACTTAATTTATATTTTGGACACTTTGCTTGTCACCCAATCTTCTCCGGGGCACAAACAGTGGTTGTTTGAACAAGAATTAAACAAATGATCTAAAGAAGGTCAATCTGTAACTTCCAAGTGTGGAAAAAAACGATTAAGTATTTGCCTTCAACACTTTTTTTTGCGTAGTAGTTTGAGTCCTAGTCTCTTCTGCAGACTGACACAGACACTGGTAGCAATGTGTTATAGCACGCTCAATGGACAGCTCTAAAATGTTGTAGAAGTAGTAATACATTTTTTGACTTATGTACATAAGACAAAGGACAAAAAAACAGGATACAAAAACATATAAACCGTAATACAGTTTGAATACAGGTTGGATAAAGCAGATTATTTTCCTCCAACCCTTCTAACTAATACAACACATCACAAAACACACAGACAAGACACAGGCCCAAACACCGCCTGACCCTACAGCTCTCCCACCACTCTCTGCTGATGGCATCCCTCATCCACAAAGTTGCCTTGCACGCAAACATGCACAGCCAGATGTTAAACAAAAGGACATTCGATTTAACACAAAATGCGGTTTGCTTAATGAACCATACGTCAAAGTTCCACCAACTCTCCATATCTCATAACTTTGAGGCTCCATACTCCCAGAGGGGCCACAAACTTGAATTCGGGGCTGCCCAAAATGGCACCAGTAACCACAGGCGGAGAAGCAGGCAGCAGCTCAGCCACACACTGACTGGGAGAATATAGGAGAAAAACAGCCCTTCTAACAAGTGGGCTGTTTGTCAGCTGTGGGGGGAGTGCCAGCCGCTAGTCCTGCCTTAATATAGTCTCGCTGATCCCTGTGCCGTCTTTCCAGCAGTGTGCACATACTGGTCTGCAGAAAAACCAAAGTCTGATGTGACTTATTGGTTAAACATTTGAAATAGAAAGCTGTGGTTGCGGACTCAAGAAGCAGCTCTGAGGAGAGACTTCTGAAGTGTATAGAAGGAAACACTTTGGGAAACGAAAACAAAACCTCACAAACAAATCAGAAAATAGACCCGAGAGAGAAGAAGGTGTATTCCTTTAGGTCTGAATACTTTTGCTTTCTACCGTCAGCGAAAGTCTGGTTCATAAGTTCAGGCGTTGAACTCCTCCCTCAATCTGGCCGAGGGATCACTAAGAAAATTACTCATGACACAAGGAGCAGAACAATGGCCGTAACAACATATGACACAGTATTGTGAGGGAACGTGTTGTTTTTGGCAAAGATGTACATGTTAAGAGAAATATACCATTTTTAATCTACTGAACGGGTCTGGAGGGTCCAACGCAGCTGTGTTTATATGATGTTTATGGTGTAGTAGTGACATATTTCTTGGCAACACACGGATCGATACTGCCCATATTTTAAGAGAAACGTCCACACTTCATATATATGTATACGTTGGCCTCATATTTCGGTGGCTAACTTCCACATCTGTTTCTCCCGCTCTGAAAAGTGTTTGTTTGTCTTAACAGTTACCGCCCGATGTTTCTCATTTCATTTCGCAAATCTCGCGAAAGTGATTACCGAGATTCATGTTCTTCCAGGTTGGGACTGTGAGAAACTCAATCCCACCATCTGTTGAAAGCTGGTGTACACATGGAGCTACAGTGAGCTCACCTTTGACATTTGTGTGAGGTGTAGCGCCGGAACATCTCTAACCTCCAGGACTAGCAGAGTTTAGAGTAGAGTGTGGCAGTATAGTTTGGAACGTCTGTCAGTGTCTCAAGACTTTTTGTGTGTGTTGTGCAGTTAAACTAAAGACAACGTGAGCACTGAGCAGATAAGAAGCAATACTAATGACAACTTTCTATAAACAAAACACAGACACCTTTGGCTACTGAAACACCAGAAGCATGTCCAGTGCCTATTGTAATTGATCATTCGTTGTGTGAATACTGAGAGCCTTTGGTAATCAAATGTTCGTTTTAAAGCATAAAAGTCCCCTGTATAATTTCAAATAAAAATCAAACAATAACTATTACATTAATGTATTAGTTGTGATTAATCAATTAGCCCTAGATATCTATTTATTGAATTGTTATTGAATTTCTATTATCAAATGTGTGTGTTATGTTCAGATATATTTCAGAAATATTTCACCATTTGGCAACTATGTATACCTCTTGTTCTGGAAAGATTGCAAGACTTTCTTTTTTTCTTTTTTCGCATGCATGCTTCCAGTCTGAGAAATCGATACTATTTCACAGGAGCTTTTTTTCAAGTGATAATAGTTACACTACAAAAACAATTGCATACAAACAAGAACAGTGTCATATGCTAGATGTTGAGTTGCTATTATACAGACAAGAATTACCAAAATCAAGATGTAACCAATCCGTAAGACATTTTGAAGCTATGTGATTCTTGTCCATATTTCTTCTTGTAAATATGAAAAGCCTGAAAAACTATTTACAGCAAAGCATAAAATACGAATAGCGATGAGGGGGATAAATACATCTGCTTTGCATTAAATTATTTACCTTGCTGAATTTTAAGAAGTCTTCTCAATTAACCAGCTGATGGACATAAGCAGTACACTCGACTATTGTGGGCATTATGGTTCAGTACAAACACGTTTTGAATGTTAAACAAAAGTGACATAAAGCAGAAAGTGCACATATGACTTAAGTCTCTCTGTTGACCTGCCCATCCCTCGCTCTTAGCTGCTGGGTGTTGTCCGTCATCACTGGTTTCTTGGACGTAGAGGTTATTTGACCCGCGGCCCACAACTCCCCTCTGTCCATCTAATGAGCCCCGCGCCGCAGCTCTGGCCCTGACAAATGGGACCCGGCACCAGTGTGCAAGGCTGGTATTAGAAAGTAGGATAGCAGCCGTATGACTTAATGCCTGTGCTATGAGACTATGAGCGTGTAAAGAGAAAGGCTGTGTATGGAAGTTTAACGTCACTAAAATAATTAAAATCACAGAAATAATGAAACGACTAATGACAAATGGCTTGGGGACGGATGTGAAGGGAAACAGTTGGATGAATGAAAACTATTTTTTTATATTCAAATATCTATTTTGTGTTTTATACATCAAAATAAAGCTTCACTCAAGCATTGAACAGCACTACAACAGCATATCAGTTTGAGTTAGAAGAAAACCCTTTTTCTAATACTATCTAAGACTTAAAATTGTAATCTATTAAGACAAAGTTGGAACTTCATTTTTAAAGAACAAAATTCTTTCTATTCCTATGTGTTAGTATTGCTGGTATTATTTCTTTTTGACTTTTATTTTACAAGAAAAGTTAAGATTTCAGAGTCTCCTTCAAATGTTGTACTTGTGTGTGTTTTGAGGGGTAGAAAAACCGGAGCATCAGGAGGAAACATACCCACATATCACTGAGAAAGGCCCTGTCTGGAGTTGGAATCAAACCCAGGACCTTCTGGCTGAGAAGCGATATTAGTAACCACTCTGCCACAGTAGTAGTAGTAAGTAGTAAGAAGTATTTTGTTCTTACGCACATTGAGACAAAATATACAGTACAAAATAAGAAAAGTCTCCTCTTGAGCTATCTGAAGGGACTCAAAAATAAACCGTTACAGGTGCAATCGTCGCTGCCTTGTCTTCATTTCTCAACAATACTAATTTTACAAACCTTTTTGATTTGAATTTGGTCGCCCTATTCCAAAAACATACTTCTCAACCTCTAAAATGCCATTACAACGAGGTTTGAACCCGTTAATACCCAAAGCACAGTGCACAGGAACTTTCCATGAAGTATGAGCTCTCTCCAAAGACTGATCTTATGGCTTGATATTATGTCAGATCACGTCTCAAAACCAAATAAACAAGCAGACCACATTGTGATTTTGGTTTTACATTCACTTCAGCCCTCTGTGGGGATGAGGTTTTCTGCCTGGCCTCAAATCTTTAAGGCTTGAAACTGGGAGCAAATGCTAGTGGCCCAAAATATACTTTCGTCAGTCGTGGGAACATACCCTCTGGGACCGCATCCACCTATCGTCACCATTTCATAATATAATAATACATCTGAAAGTATATGTTCATTCAATATGTTCAAATCTTGTACTGGCAAACACCACGGAAAATATCAGGACTGTTTAACTTTAATTACAGCGACGATACACTGGTAATCAATTGGTATTACCAGCAAAGCAGAGCACCGGGACTGGGGTGGAAGCATTTCAGATCTATGCAGCTAAAATATGGAACATCTTCCTGAGGTTGTGAGACAGGCCTCTACCCTGACCGTGTTCAAAACTAGGTTGGCAACATTTCTGTTTCGCTGATCATTCAACTGACTATTGATCAGTAAAACCAAGGAGATGGTAATTGACTTCAGGAGAAAACCACTTTCCCACACGCTTCCTCCTGAGGAGGCTGAGGTCCTTCGGAATGAGCAGGCCTCTGCTCAGGACTTTTTATGACTCTGTGGTAGCTTCTGCCATATACTACGCTGCCGTGTGCTGGGCCCCGGGCAGCACAGAGCGGGACAGGAGTAGACTGAACAAGCTGGTCAGGAGGGCCAGCTCCACTCTGGGCTGCTCGCTGGACTCTGTGGAGGAGGTGAGGGACAGGAGGGTGCTAGCCAAAGCCACCTCCATCATGAACAATACCTCCCACCCACTGCACAGGACTGTAGAGGAGCTGAGGAGCTCCTTCAGTGGAAGACTGAGACACCCTCAGTGTAGGAAGGAGCGCTGCTGCAGGGCCTTTATCCCCTCTGCCGTCAGACTGTACAATAAGTCACTTTAAGTCACTGCACTATGACTGAAAAGAAACCTGCACTACTATCGCCACTTTTTTTGTACATAATATATCCAGCATTAACATGCTGCACATTTCTTACTTTTGCACAATTCTTGAGTGTTCCTATCCTTGCCAATGTGACATGTAAATTCCTCCTGTGTGAGATTAATAAAGTCTTATCTTATCTTATCATATCTCTTTTAAAATGCTGATTTTAACAAGAGTTTTAATATGAAAGGTTTGTATATTGATGTTATTGCCTTTTTGTTTTTTCATATATTTTGATTGTGTTTTAAAACGTCTCTTGTGAAGCACTTTGGGTTGCCTTGTACCTGACCCTGACTGATTGAGCATCCAAATCCTAATCCAACAAAAACTGGTGTTACTAAAGGTTTCAATCAGAAAGTGAAGCAGGATCTTTAAAAAAGCGCTCAAAATATGAAATTAGGCATTTTCTACTTTTAACATGTTATTATTACAACTCTATATAGTTTTTGTTTCATGTCATCGACAATTATATTCAAGTTTACACTACTGCAATCGAAGCGAATATATCAATGAATGAATAAATTAAAACGTTTTGTAACAAATCTAGGGTTGTACAAACTTATTTCCCCTGAAGGTTCCTAGAATCCCAGACAAAGAGCGCAAAAAGCCCCAAAAGTCTGATCCCATTCTCTAGTTGTTAAATATGAAAAAATACAAATTTGCCCTTTGAGTAACAGCCCATAACTCAAACCCTAACCCTGATTTTCATTGGAAACATATTTCATTTTTCCTCACCAAATAAATTACTTGGAGGCAATTGCACCTAAAGTTAATTGTGCAGCAGCCAGTTTGTTTTGTTTTTAGTGTGCCGATCTGCAAGAAATACAAGAAAACACATTCATCCATTTTGTGCTTACTTCCGCTTCATCTGTTGCCGGGGCAACAGTCCGAGCAGAGACACCCAGATTTCCTTATCCAAACACACTTCCTGTACACTTTAAACCCGGTTTGAGACATTTTTCTGGGGTTTTTTAGCCATATGCAATCAAAGGGAACTCTGTGGTTCAAATAGAGACTAGTCATTGATATGTGCAAAAACAGCATATGTGTGGTTCATAATTAAGAGATCAGACAGTGGGGAAAATTCAATGTTGCATCACCAGATACAGAACAGTAGGAAAGAGAAGCACACAGCAGAAGATAAATGAACAATAACTCTATGCTAAAAATAAAATAAAAATCTCTAACTCTAGCATGAAGAAGAAACAAGTACAAATTCTCTATCTTTAGCATAATGAGTACAAAAAACTCTGACTTTAGCATAATAAAGAAGTATAAAGTCCTTGGGCGTGATAAGAAGGAAGTATAAAGTACTGTAGTGCAAGTACTACGTAGTTGTATGTTTACATATGTACGTGTTTGCAGCATGGGACAAAGTAGAGCAAAAGTAGACACATGTGGTTCTATATTGTTCTATAATCGCTACAATTGATGCTATATGTACCGATAACTAACTCTATAGACGCTTAAAAAAATCTTGTTTGAAATTGCACCAAACTTGAGTTGAAATCCACCTTGTGAGCTGCCACTTGTCCCAGTCTGTGGCCGTGTGATTGAGCTTCATCGGAGAAATCAAGAAGGCCATTATGAGTGTAGAGACTGGTGTCATTATGCATGCTTACATTCAAATTGCCCACTTAACATACTTCTCCTACAGCAGCATGTGTTTATCATTAGCCCATACGCTAATGCCTCCAACATTATTTGACTTGGGCTAAATGGCATAGCTGTGCTTTGTTCCAGGCCTGATAAGGGCTCACTGATTTCCACGCTATAGAACATTGTGTGTGGAAACAAAAATTAAGAGCTCTACGGAACGAGAGTGCGCCGCAAGCATAGGGGAAAGTAAACAACGTAAAGATGAGTTTGTAAGAAGGTGTATATTTTAACATTACTGAATCGCAACATGATATTACACACTCACTTATTATTGTGTGTGCGTGTTGCTCAGAACAAACAAATGAAGTTCTATTCTATCATTCTCGTCGATTCAGCCCATGGAAAAAGAGTTGGCATTGTCTATGGCAGTGTTCCCCAACCTTTTTGAGCCGTGGCACATCTTCTCCATTGAAAGAAATCATGTGGCACACCACCAGCTAAAAATGTTGCAAAAACTAAACTTCACAATCACTGAATTAACATTTCCAAAGGCACACTTTCTGGCCATGGCACACTGGTTGAAAAACACTGATCGATGGCATAGCTTTTAAATGGGAAAAGGCAACTACCATGCAAACAACTAGGAATAGTTGGGTTAATGCATGTGAAATTTTGATCCTGTCAGATCTAGAAGCTGAGCAGGCCTGGGCCTAGTAAGTACTGTGATGGGAGACCTAAATGCTAAATTCTTGTTGTATCCCAGGCACTTCACCCACATTGCACACACCAGACTGGTATGACTCTGAGTGTGCATGAATGGTCAGGTGGGCCGATGGCACAGATCAGTAGCCTTCTTTCCATCAGTCTGCCCCATGACAGATGTGGCTACAGCAGTAGTTTACCACCACTGTGCACGTACATAAATAATGCCATGTGAAGAGTTTTTGAGAGTCCAGAATAGCACTACATAAAACCAATGCATTATTATTTTTGTGATATTAAAAATAGTATTCTTGGCACATTTGTACACTATATAATACTATACATCTTGTTCAAACATGATGTATGAATTTAAAATAACATGTAGAATATATACAACCGTCTTGAGTGTTTTCATCCCAACTACAAAAATATATAAAGAGATTTTATGGAAGAAATGTTTTAGAGGGGATAATCCTTAAACAGTTCCAACATAAGATTGTAAAACATTTGAAGGTGCAGCAGACAAAATTAAACCTGTTGCAATAGACTAACTAATAAAATCCCAAAGAGGATTTTGGGCTGAGCCTGAGCTCAGTGCTGAGCTCAGGCTCAGCACTGGAGCAGATCTGAGTGGCCAATATTGAGGATCTGTGAGAGGATTTCAAAGCCATCGGAAGTGTTCTCTTGTCCCCGACGGAGGAAACAATGCTCCGGCAACTGTTTGAACTTGAAGACATTTTATCTGTGCGCAGTCGTGTGTGTCCCCCTGACTGCATGTCATGCACTGGAGTGGGACTAACACTTTGTTCTCAATATCGTTTAAGTGTTCACTTTTCACAGAGGAACCCCTATGCAACAAAAGCCATGTGCAGCTCCCTCTGATGATAGGGGTGAACGCAGACACAGGAAATGACTAGAGGGCACAACCAGGGATTGTCTCTTTTTCACTCCACTCCTTTATTCTGCCATCTGCATCAGCGTATCAGGTGTAAACTATTGGAAGGATGGAGCAGTTTCCTTCCAAACTGTGTATTATATTTCCTAGAAACAAAATACAATAAAAAGTGGATAATCGCTCATTACTTTTCTCACAAAGTTCACTTCTTCATACCAGTAGGCCTAATTATAAACAAATGAGGACGCCTGACATGATTCATGGTTCAGCAGCCTTTTATGCAATGCACTGCAGTGACTTGTTTAAGCACCCCCCTGACGTGGATTAAGAAAAGCACACCATTAATGGCACCCTCAGGACTTTTATCAAAAACACTGAGGGATCTATGTTTTACGAGAGAGAACACACACTTCAAATATCCTCTGCACCGTGTTTCTGCTCAGAGGCAACAGGCCCTGACTCATAATGACAGTCCAACTTTAGAACAAAGCCAAACTGAGCAAACTCCCCATATTCACCTCTTAGACTTTGACACCAGTGTGTCAATGCTCCAGCAGCCTATATCTAAAAAATGCTCTATGGCTTTTCAAGACAGAAATGCAGCCTCAGGGCACGTATTTGAACAGAAATGCTCCTGTCAAGTGTCAAAGCCCTGCACCAGTTTAAGTGACATTTTTCACATTGTATTAAAAGTCCTACGACAACATGCCATGCCAAGCACTTGACTAGTCCATTTTTGGGGGTAACCCAATATGTAGTATTAGAATGTGTAATTATTAATACATTATTATAATTTGTTTTATTTCATGGGAACTTTATAAATGCAAAAAAACATACAAATGTAGTGTTTGTTGAATGTGTCTGAAATCAGAATAAGCTGAGAGCATGTGCTGTATGAACCATCCTGTATTACCCCTGTTTTGTTTCGAAAAAGTCATATACACTCTTTTAGAAGACAAGGACATATATTCTTGATAAGCTGCATTGTAGAAGAAACCGAGAGGGAGGGTTAAACGTGCAAACATGCCTGCTTCGCACAATGACTGAGATTTCATTAGAACAGCGCTGAGTCGCTCCATGAAGCCCAGCTCTACTCTCCTCTCACTAAACAACAGTTCCACACTAGAACGTGCTCGTGGCTCTGGGTCCGGACTGGATCCAAACTGGACCCGGACATGTTTGTGTTCTATTCTTGCATTAGTCTCTGGCTCTCTGCTCACTACAGTGTGTACAGACTGGGACGGACTGGGACGGACCCGGACCCCGCAGTGCTTACCTCCAGCAGAACAGAGCGAAAGCTGTGATTTAGCAGCAAAACACATTCTTCTGATGACAAATCCGACCAGGGCCCTCCATTAGACGCGGGCTCCAGGTGTCACAGAGCAGAGGAAACAACAGCCGAAGCCCGGGAGCAGGACAAACTTCTGGGAGTCCCGAGCAGCGCGGCGCAGACTTCGGGCGAAGGTAAAAAACTCGTCCCAGGTCAAAAGTCTCGCTGTAAGCCGCTCGTAAGTATTGTTTGACTATGGTGGAGGTTCCATGCGCTGGTATAAGTCAGTGTAATCCTGCGGCTCTGCTCTCTGCGCTGAAAACACTGGAGTAAGTTGTGGAGCGCTCCTCCGGTCTCTCTAGCGCCGCGTCTTCCACACACGCATCTTTGAAGCCAGTGTCGAGTGTCTCAGCAAATCATGGCAGCTTCAAGGCTGGTCGTCAAAGCAGGAATGTCCCTGCCCCACAGCCCGGATCCCGGGGAGGAGAGGGAGGGAGACACAGGGGGTGTTGCCCATACACTGTGCATTAACAACTTTTACAATCTTCAAGGGAAAAAGTCCTCACTACTCTGCTAAATTGACTGACCAAATGGAGCTATAGAAGGCCAATAACTAGTCCCAAGAAGTAGAAGAAAACGGCAGGTATTCTTAAATGAAGTGTGCCATAATTGGCCATGTGTGTTTTAATTTTAGATGTTTGAATACAGAGGGGAAAGCGACTCCATCATCCATGGAATACATTACCATTATGTACTGGCATACTGTATACAAAAATGAATAGATTCATTCACCTTTGTATGATAATTTGTGTTACACCAGAGTGTATATTGAAATAGTCTCCAGCTTACATTCTAGTTCATTAAAGCTAGGGACCACAAACACTTGTAATGAAATATCAAATAGCAACAGAAATATCGTATAGTTTCCACATACATGCATTTTTGGCCTCAGTCACATCTAGATCAGATTTTTCTGACAAAAAAATCTCAACCAATCAGCTCTCAGCCCTGTGTCAAATAGTGACTTATAGGGTTCTTTCTTACAAGTATGCCAAATATTACATTTTATAATAAGAGGAAGACATAATGCACATAATGTACAAACGATACTTTACAAGTGTCATTCTGTTGGCACTGACAAAATTTACTTTTCATGTTATTATAAAGTTAGGTACCCCAGCTTCAATATCCTGTCCTATGTCCTTTATCAGCATATGGTGTGGAGATGGCCGAACCATGCCAGCCTCGCAGTGCAGCTCACCACCTGACAGCTGACTCCCATCATCATCCAAGTCTCCTCAGGCGACTCAAAATGAGCCAAAGTCTACACAGCAGACAACACAGATGAAGATGAAGACACATCTTAGCTGTGCCAGGACAATTACAGCCCATACAAGGAGATATAATACCTTGCCTCTGCCAGTTTGTTAGCATCTCAATGTCAAAGGTTAAAGTAATTATTGACGTAACTATTGAAACACCTCTTGTGGAAAATTTCACACCAGCTCTTGTAAAAGTTGATGGATGTGGTTCCACCGTCTCTGAAGTGCAGCTTTGAAAATCTGTGCTTCACTTGAAATATTGTGACTTTTCCACTAAGTTTGACCAAATTACAGTGTGAGATTTCATAACACTTTGAAGCAACTATTGTTAAAGTTCAAACTCATCCTTATTACATTTGCATGGGCCAGTACTTTTCCCTTGTTTTGACTTCTGAAGGCCAAGCTACATGACAGCGTGGAAGCTGCTGATTGGAGGTCTCCATGCCTCCGCTCTGTATAATACACTTGCTGTCGTAACATCCCTTGTTCGTGTTGTTCGTGCTGTCTCTACCATTGACAATAAAACATGTCTTCTGCCTGAATGAAAGACGCGATCCCAGACTTTGTCATCTTCTTCAGGTGGTGAAAGGATGCGGGCATTGTCTGTAACATCTACAGAACAGAAGACAAGTTTTTTTTTAGCCAAAACTGCGAAACCTCAAGAGAAACCATGCATCTGGATCAGCACATGGACAATCTGCACAGCCCCTGATTCCAGTCAGGCCTGCTGTGAGCTGCTGAGACATGGACAATACCATCGTCCTTGTTTGCATGGACATCATTTGGACTGAATTGATTTGCTGAATCTGGATACTAAAGCTGAAACGTGCGATTGAAAGACACGTCACAGAATAATTCATGGCTCGGCACAAATGCAGCCTGAGGAATCAACACGAAAAGTGGGAGAGACTGTGTTCAAAGCAATATCTGGAACCACCATCGACTGATGAAGTTTGGTATTTTACTGAAGATTCTTGACGAGTTTTATGAAAGATCTGAACATGTTTGATGAGTTTTCTGAGTTTTTTGAAATATTCCGAGTTCTGAGTTTTTTGAAGTACCGAGTTTATGAGTTTAAGTATTGAGTTATGATCACTAACAGTTTGTTACATCCTTTGTTCGTGTGCTTTGTTCGTGCTGTCTCTACCATTGACAATAAAACATGTCTTCTGTCTGAATTAAAGACGCGATCCCAGACTTTGTCATCTTCTTCAACAGTACAACTTTCAAACCACAAGAAAAATGAAATAAAATACCTAGAGTCCCTGCTCTATACCTCTTTGGTTAATCACTAGTTTTCACTTGCATGTATGTTTAGCCTCTGTCACATACAGTATTCAGATAGAAAAGTAGACAAGAAAAGACCCTCACTCAACTCTGCTCTCAGCCTAAAGTGTCAAATAATGACTCACTGGGATCATATAATTTGTATGTATATATATTGTAAAATATTTTCTCATTAGATTAAAACAGAATGCTAGGCCTGGGGTTTGATTATTGTTACTGTTATGAGTCTATTATCTTGGGACAAACTACATGTATAATTTATGATGAAAAAAGTATGGTACCCCAGCTTTAATGTGTGTGTTTATTCCCTGTACTTCCCCATGTGTTTGTGTCTGTTAGGAGGTGGTCAGAGCTGGAGTCCAGGCCCCGGGTTCAGAGGGGGGTGAGCTGGGGATTGGACACAGTCGCATGTGAAAGGCCACTGAGCGGTGAGTCTACAGGGAGCTGGGTCTGCACACAAAAGCCCAGGGAGGGGCAGGTTGGAGGTATGAGGGGTGGGGGACTCGCTGGGAACCAAAGCTGACAGCAGAGATACTTCTCATCCGCGGAGCACTGGGCTGTCTCTGGCCCCCTGTGGTCCGGCCTGTTGAGCTTCAAAAGGCGCTCACACGAAGGAGCAGCAGCGGTAATATTGGGCACTGCACAAAGCCTCTCCGACCCCTGGCCCACATTTTCGGACAGCTTTTGTGTCCGGGAAAGATCAGGCGAGATAATGTATCGACAGGTCACAATATACTACCACATTTGCAGTGACATAAACACTCTATGATGTTAGAAAAGTAAAGTCTGATTCCATACTCATGACCAGTGTGGGTTATGGTGATAATGCAATATGTGGGAATATGTGACATGACTAACCTTGTATGATAATAACTGATCTGGCAACAGACCAGTTTCTCAGATTGTTGTGCCTGTACCTCTTGCCATAGCTCTTTCTTGTGACTGAAGGAATGGAAAAGCCAAAAAGGATGCAGGTTCCTTGTGTGACGTCATGCTAACCAGAGATTTTCAGTGGTGATTGTTTGCTTTAGGAACGTCCAGGCTGCTGTCCTGTGCTCCTGGGGACTTTAATCCTTTGCCCACTGTCAACAAAGTGTTTATGACCTGCAAAGCGGAGCACTGTTTTGTTGACACTGTCAGCAGGGGCTTGGGAGATGCCTAACTCCCAGGGCTATTAAAAGACACTTTCAGATAAGAGCAGGACCATCCGAGTACTTGAGCAGCCTGGGTTTGTGGATTGGGCTGCAGCTTTGCTAATTACAAGACTGGAGTTTAATAAATGGTTGTGTGTGAGGACATTATTGGAAGCCATTTTGGAAACTGTGAATTGGCATGTGGAGTTTTCCTCCCTGATTGTAGTGCAGCAAAAGTACAGTGACTTTTTGGAAGATGCTGAGAAATGTTTCCCTCTTATCAACGAGCGCCTGAATCATTTCTGTTTAACTTTGTCTAACCTATTATAGACATAGAAAACATTTGGGAGGGAAACACACACACTAGTGAGAAAAATCACAATATTTTACAAGGCAGACTAAATAGATTTTCCCTCGGAGGACCATATATCTCTGCGTAGGACAGGTGTGTGCGCGTAGGCCGCCATTGTTGCCGTCTCTAAGCTGCAGCTGTGTGTCTGTTCACTGATGTGTAAAGCACCCCTTTCCATCTGGTTTGTGCATCAGCATGGTGGGATCAAATTATCCATCGTGGGCTCTCTGGGAATTTCATCGGTCTGTAACATCTCACTCATTCACACATACAAGCTGATTTAAGCATGTGCAGCCATCACGAGTACCCCTCTTGACATAACATTGACCTCGCACATCCTCTGTCCTGCTTCGGTGCGGCTCATCTGATATGTCTCGTCTGCACCAAGCCTAAAGCTGTCTAGAGTTTGCTTTCACGTACTCACAGTTAGGCCTCAGTGGTGATAAAAGAAAACTATAGCTTTTCACTCAACATAAAACAACAGCTAATTTTATACATAAATACTGATGTGAGAATTTGCTTGTTCTAGATCTGGCTGATCAGTAATAAACATGGTCCTTTTGCCACAGGCTTATTATGTGTTTTATGCGTTTCAAAATGCATGTAAACCCGGAGACGGCCATATTTGTTTTGCATTCAGATTCAAGCTAATTCAAAGTGGTTGAGACGGTTTGTTCTTGGAGGTTTGTCTCATCCATCAATCCTTTTTCTTCCACTGCATTTGCTGAGGCAGTAGTGTAAGCAAAGTGGGCCAGACTTCTCAAATCATGCCCACTTCCTCCATCTCCTGAGGCTTGTCCAGGCCAGCTGAGTCCCTCCAGGCCTCCTCCTAGTGGGACATGCCCACGGCCAGAACACCTCCCAAGGGCGGCATCCAGGAGGCATCCAAAACAGTTGCCCGAGAGGTAAGAATAATAATCATTCATTTTATTTCAGAGCACCTTTCAAGACACCCAAGGACGCCTTACAATATATAAAAATAAATCACTCACATAATTGAGAGTACAAAATATAAAACATTATAAAATTACAAAGAATAAGCCCCCATCGTGGCCATTTGGATTGTGGGGACAGTGAGAAGCAGAGAGAGCGGGACAGGGTGCACGGGGTCTCAACGTGATCTCAACTTGTCGATCTCAACTCGACATGGAGGAGCAGCGGGTCTCCTCAAAGCTCCTCCCGTGCGACTCTGCTCCCTATCTCTAAGGGTCAGCCCAGCCACTACTACTGTATGTTTTTGAACGCTCTTATCCTTTCGGTCATCATTGCCCAAAGCTCATGACCACTGGTGTTTGCGTCATGTGACATAAACCAAATACTATTGAGTCTGATGCTACGTTGATGTACTGTATGTCGTTTCAAATATGGAACTCAACACTCCAACTATTTCATTTAATAAAGATTATTACTGTGCACAAACATAGTTAAACAAATAGAAATAGACACATCATTACGCTACTTGCATGTGCAATTCCAGTGAGAGTCCTTTTTAGTAGACTTCTGTCATGTACATAAATATAAATGACTTTGGGTCCAGTATATCACTTCCACTGGCCTGAGATCCTTAAGCGTTTCGCAGATTGTCCGGGCATGGTCTTCCGATCTGATCCGGCCTGTGATGTGGAGTTGTCACAATAAAGAATCCGGGAGCTGGTCGTTGTGGGAAGCTGGGGAATAGTGAGCAGGAAGGAGACTCAAGTGAAATATCTATTACTGCTTCACACTGATGTCTCCTTCGGTCCCTGTGGCTCAGTGCGACCTTGTGATTTATGGAGGGGCTTTAGAGCAGGGATCAAAATACAGCTGCCTCAAAACATGTGTACAAGTGAACTAACATTGATCTAGTTCATATGCACTCTATACTGGAAGTATTCGAGTACTTTACCACTTTGTTTGGTGGTTTATGGGAAATATTTATAGTTTTACCACAAGCAGAAATGGGTGAAGAAAAAGTTGAACAAAAAAGTGGAAAATTCCTTTTCCCTTTTACCTGAATGACCTTATAAATGATGTGCAAGGAGGAACACATTTTTTGACGGTTGAATTAAGTTATTAAAGCTTAAGTAGACAAGCTTTTTATTTATTTTCAAAACTGGTTATATAGAAACAGAAAATGAGTGGCTGATTGGTTTGCACCATCACTTCTCACCTGGTTCTACATGGGTGCTCCAGTTTCCCATGTCACTGAAAACATGTTCAATAGAGCCCTTCTTTATTGGAACTTTCTCAAAAATGGTCAAACTGCAGGTAAAAA